TGAGGTCATTTGATTTTTCCAGCCGCACTATGGCCCTTGGGTCGACTCAGCCTCTAACAGAAATGAGTATCAGGAATCTTCCTGGGAGGTAAAAGGCGGCCGGCGTGTAAGGTTGACAACCTCATCGCCATCTATGAACCGACTGTCTAGAAAATGTGGGAGCCTAGGCGTCGCACAATCTTACGGGCCTTCACGGTCTGTTACGGGGATAGCCTTACCTTCTTAATTATTCATAGGGTATTTGTATTTAAAGCTGTAGCTCTGAGGGAGGAGCACAGTCGGTGGTACTTAGAGCAAACTGCTGAGGATAATAATTGGACCCATGAGACATGAAGTAACGATGGATTGAGGACAATTAAACAGACCCAACAATTTAGCAGCTCTTGGAGAAGGTAAGGAAAAACTGTCCTCGTGCTTAATTAACCAAGCACTACGTCATGAAGACGTACGGGGGAGTGGAGCTCAAGGTGCTGGGTAAGCCCCAGAGCCGGTCTGGACACTGTGCAATCTCTGCCAGGACTCGAACTCCTGTTCTTTTGATGTCCAGCCCGTAGCAGGCCGCTACACCGACTGAGCTATCCCGCGCTTCCAGCTCTCGGTTAAAACGAGGCATATTTGAGAAGAACATCCTACCTACAGAACAGGTTTAAATGACATTTTGTGGGCACCCCGATGAATCTTCGGGTTTCACTTTAAAGGGAATCTGTTGCCATTCGCGCCAACTGTTCACGAACATCCTACACCATGTAGTCAGTTTGCTATATAACGACGCTTTGACAGCTGCAGAGGTTATACAGAGTGGGGCGCAAAAACTTCCTTTTTGTGAAGACACATTGTGGAGGGAGGGGAGGTCGCAGAAAAGTGGGGATAGGCTGGGTGAACGCAGCAGTCGCGGAAGTTTCTGTCTAATACCCCTCAGTAGGAAACATGAGGTGGACGAGTGAGCAGCGTGCGTTCCGTACTCACTTCGGAATTAAGCCCAGAGTTCCGGTTCCCGACCGGAAATCGATTGTTTTGTGGGTAGAGAAGTGGGAGTGTGGTGAAAAAATCATCAGGACAACAACGGACCGTTACGACGCCAGAAAATGTGGAGGCAGTTCGACAGTCGATTCTGAGATCTTTTTCGAACCAGCTCTTGAAGAAATGCATCTAGGAAATGTCTGGTTCCAACAGGATGGTGCCACGGCCCACACAGCCCGAGCTTCGATGACAGTTTTGAGGGCAAAGTTCCCCGGACGGCTCATCTCGCTTCGAGGTGACATCCCGTGGGCAGCGCACTCACCTGATCTAACGCCCTGTGATTTTTTATAGGGATACCTCAAGGCAGAGGTTTTTAAACATCGCCCCACACACCTGCTTCAGCTGAAAAATGTTATTCGGCAGGAAGTAGCCCAAATTCCGGTGCACATGTTGGAACGTGCAGAGGGGCACTTCAGAAAACGGTTGCATCAGTGCATAGAGAACGGTGGCCACCACCTTCAAGATATTTTGTTTAAAACTAAATGATTTAAAACTTTAAAGTATGTTCTTTCATTAGCTAAACATAAATTCTGTCTATCAGTAATAATTTTTCTTTTATTCTCCTTCAAAAAAAAACAAAAAGGATGTTTCTGCGCCCCACTCTGCATAACGTAACTTGCAGGTAGAAGCAGTCTGGACTTTCATCTGGAAGGGCTGAGAAGAGACGACGAACTTCTCTGCTACAACAGTCGTTCCCCAGCTGAACTACGCAACTATATCAATATCACACAGCTCTTAGTTTTACTGATGTTACGTTACACACGGAAGAGGGATCCCAAAGAAAGAAAGAAAGAAAGTAAGGAAGGAAGGTAGAAAGGATGGAAAGAAGGTAGTAAGGAAAAAAGGGAGGAAATGAGGGAGGAAGGAAGGAGGGAAAGAAATAAAGAAGGGAGGAAGAAAGAAAGAAGAGTCCAAAAGCAATTTCAAATTTATGTGAGTTTAAAGTGGATGTTGAGATTTTTCTCTTCTCCAAAACGTCCATAACTCTGGAACCAACACCCATGCCTTTCTCAAACGGCAGTCTGCAGTTACTCTATGCCGGTTCACAAATGTTAGCTGGTGTTAGATCTATAGGCCTACATAAACCTGGCACGACTGGGAGGGCACCGCCCCCTTCCCAGTCCTGCCAGGCTTATGTAGGGGAGACAGTACTTTACAGCACGAGACCTGTCTCGTTTCTTTTTTGTTTTCTTCTAGTGCCTAAATAGTCTATGTCGATACCAGCGATTTTCCACCGGTGCACCTCGGCACATGGTGTGACGCGAATTGAAGGTCGAAAAGAAAAATAAAGAAATCGTCGAAATCCATGATTAGCATAATTTTTAAAACTAACAAAATGATCAGAATTTTTGCTGTTGAACTTTTATACACAATCATGTTACACGTTTTTCTTGTAATGACAGAACCCCTACTCTTAAAATATTGATGGTGCGCCTTGACAATTTTAGCGCCATGTTCGGTGTGCCTTGAGTTGAAAAAGGTTGAAAAACTCTGTGATATGCTCATCTTCCTTCCCCCCCCCCCATGGACGTAATGATGATTCTTGAACATTGAGTACATTAAAATACCAAGACCAACAGCATAATACTGTGACGTGTTGCGCATTGGAGTACCCGCAGTGACCTGGCAGCCCTGGCCACGGTGACGTAGCCCCCACCCCCCAGCATTTTATGGAACCCGAAGGTTCATTACCGTGTTCACAAGAGCCCTCCACTGGTCCCTATCCTCAGCCAGATCAATCCAATCCATACCATCCTCTCTCTCTAAGATCCATTTTAATATTGTCCATCCATCTACGCCTTGGTCTTCCCAGTGGTCTCTTTCCTTCTGGCTTTCCCACCAATATCCTATACGCATTCCTCGTCTCCCCCATTCGTGCTACATGCCCTGCCCACCTCATCCTCCTTGACTTCATCATTCTAATTATACTTGGAGAAGAGTAAAAGTTATGAAGCTCGTCATTATGCAGTTTTCTCCAAACTCCTGTCACTTCATCACTCTTCGGTCCAAATATTCTCCTCAACACCGTGTTCTCAAACACCCTCAGTCTATGTTCCTCCCTTAATGTCAGAGACCCAGTTTCACACCCATACAGAACCACAGGCAAAATTATAGTTTTGTATATTCTAATTTTTATGGTTCTGGACAGCAGACGAAAATACAAAAGGTTCTGGACTGAATGGTAGTTCTACGAACTATTAACAACAAAATTTTAAACTATCTTCTAACTGGTATAAATAGTCTTTAGAAACGTAAATTTTAGCTTCTAAGCAAATTCCATCACTATCCATCACTATCGGTGCGACGTGCCCAAAATACTGGGCGGACAATGAAAAAAAAAAGTCACTCGCTTTTAACCATCTGTTAGCCTGCGTAGGGAAGGATGACGTCACTAATTACCCCGTGTAGTGAACTAAACTGAAACAATCGAAATCGTGAAGGCCGTGACGAATTCTACACGGCATGGTATACAGCAACGGATTATATTATACAATCCTTTACTAACAAAGGCAATAACTAGTTCGCGTGCATAGTACGCTTTTTGTGATTACATTAACATGTCGATTTGTCGCAGGCAGACTTCTAAAACAAATCTGAACCATTATTAATTATAATTCAAGCGTAAACTTAGACTTTCCTAACCAAACAAAACCTACGCGCAGGCATGATCGTAAATAAATATGGTAACTATTTCTACTTGCTACCAAATACACATTGCAAAACGTGCCTTCTGGTACGGGTTATAGACCCCGCTTAACAGACGTACCGTTAAAATTGTGAAAAATTCTTGGGGCATATTAGAGGAGACGCAATTAGTGGCGCCTTGTATAAGGTAGGTGGGGAAACTGTAAACAACGCCACTAAACCTTATTCCGGGAGAACTGCCGTAAACTGAGATAAGCAGCTCAACCAAAGTAATGCATCTTTCGGGTTATTTTTATCCTTCATCTCTCTCTTCTTCCCTTCATCCCCCCATGAACGACAGACGAACAACACACGAGCCAACAAAGCACCTTACACTGGACACCCCCTAACCCGTGGGGACATCACATCGCTTCAAACTTCTCATCACGAACCACACGGATAGCTCTCCCGCCCCCCAACCCTTTATACCCGACCTCTTCTCTATAATTCCCGCCCCCGCGCTATCATCCTCTTTCCCTTCATACACTTTTTCACTCCCTCCTCCTGCCGGCATTCATCATTTTATATTTCCACGCGCGGAGCCTGGGCTTGCACGACGGATGGTCTTTGTTCCGCGGCCCGCCACCTTGTTTTATCGTGGCTCATCACGGCTGCTCCTGACCCCGAGCTTGTTGCTGCACGACCACGAAAGAGAGAGAGACGGAACACGAGGGATTGTTTAGTGGCAGCGGGAAAGAGAGGGGCTTGGCTGTGGAGTGAGGTGGAGTATGGGTTCATGCGGCGACTCCGTTGCGGTCTGCTGGACGGGACAATTTGGTCAAGAGCTTGGCAAGGAGAATGGAATCTCTTAATTGTCCTACTTTATACGTACTTTCCATAATAGTGTCTTCCCATCACAAAACCTCTACTGATGCGGAAAATTTTAACATTCGACGTTATGATCTAATGGCACATTTTCTGGCCAGAAAAAAAAATATAACTGCGAAGTTCAAACTTCGCATTTCACTCCGTAAACTCTTCCAGGTGACACACATTATTCACAGACCTCGGGGGTGCAGCAGGAACACAGGGACAAATCTCACGCACAATATATGAATGCGAACAAAATGAGCATTCCTTCTTAGTAACTTTTCGTTTGTCAATAAAGATGAATGGTTACATTTGACATTTCCTAGTCAAACTAGCTACATGTTGCACCGCATATTAAAATTGTACAACCATAATAATAAGTCAGATGTTTGTGTTAAAACCCGTAAATAAATCAAACTTCCTGAGTGCGACACATTCCTGCATTGTCAAAATGCACTTAACAATAACACAATTCGAAAACTCACCGCGGCTGATGGGTGCCTGGCAGGGGCTGGGTACATGGCTGCTGTCTACAAGTCAGCAGCGGCTCAATGCCATGAGAACATCACCTCCACATTTTCTACTTCCAGTAAAAATAAAGCGGGATAGCACCCACAACACTTTTCTGACCGATCCTTCCTGTCACAGCACACAAACCCCTTCACAAGTTGTCTACGCCACAACCGTCACAGCACTGTTTCACAATATCAACCAAAGACACACACATCTCCTCGGTATCACCGAGCTATATTCGCGCATCCTAATTCAAATTTCACAAAAATTGTCAGGTTTTCGCACATCTAACGCGCACAATCCATTGTTCCACCACCGCCAGTGCCAGATACTCTGCTCATAATGGCGTATAGCCCACGTGGTATACAAAACAGAAACGTCACGTATTCTCCACCAATAATCGTGTTCCATTCGGAGACTCCACCCTATTCGGTTAAGCGACAGCTACTCGTCAACTCCGCGTGGAGCACGGACCAGAGATTATAATGGAAAGCCTGTTCACTTGTATTAAAATCTGTTCCCTTAGGTACTCATGCAGTTACTACGTAACTCAGATAGATAACTTTCCGAATCGGCAACACAGCAACTTTGATGAAACATACAAATCATTACACTGTTTATCCTCCTATATAATGTAAAATAAACTACACTCTTTTATATAGTATAGAACTTCAATACTTCTAATTTAATAACTGAAACTTTTCTGTTTCTCACACACAAAATTACATGGAAGTGTTTGGTCTGGCTTTATATGGTCTCTGCAAACGGCATTCAAGTGTCTCCAAATTGAATACCAGAGACCTCTCACGATCGTCCTTGGAACTAACAGCAAGCCATATTGTGTTTTGTTCATCAGTTCAGTTTGTCCGTCACAGCTGCTGCGGAGAGCTGCGGCGGATAAAATTGGTTATTTCCATAGTTTGAGGACCTGTGTCCCAGGTTATGATGCAAGAAATGGACTTCAAGAATGTCATCTATAATGCAGCAAGGGATGGCAAACTCCGACGCTTGAAGGTAAGAAACCAAAACTGCGTATTTAAGATTAGGTGTAGGATCCTTTATTCTTCTCCGAGTAGGGATAACTCAAATTGGCCAATTAAATCGAACATTGAATAGATTACGAAAACGTAGTATGGAATTTTACCCAGTAATGAAGTTCATACTATTTTGCGATCCTGCCCAACAGTTTGATGTGCTGTAAGAATGACCTTCTGTATATTTTCTGATAGACTGGTTGCAATTCATTGACGTAAACCTTTTTATAATTACGTATTCTGATCTGAAAGCTATTCTTTTTAGTATTTTAAGATAATTACAGTTATTCTTTGTATAATGTGTCGTATTAATGCTAAGTGAATACCGTGCAACTGATCTTTGTTTATGCATTGCTCTTCCAACATTTGTGTTTTGAACAAAAATGTAAGCCTTTTTTCGTGCTGTTGTGGTTGTAAAATCGCGTTATCTGTAAAGTATGGAGTCCTCTAAATACCGTACTTGCTTTCGTATGTCATCTGTAAACATTTTTAACTGCTGTGCAGGTAGTGACCACACAGCAAGTAGTGAGAGTGAAAGGTTCGTTATATTGATTCTATTTGGAAACATGCGAAGTAATAGAACTACACCGGTACTCTTTAGAGAAATCATAATGAACCAGGTAATTTGGTGGCTAAATAAACAGTGAAAAAAGAAATGTGGCAGTTGTTGGCATCTGTCCATCGATTTCTTCCAGAACTAGGTAGTCTGTATGCGTAGTTATTTTGAATGTAGTGTTTTCAAGTCGGTAGGGAGGATATGTTTAGAGTAGTGTTAGTTGTGTTGATGATAATTACAGAAGCATTAAGAGTGTTTTACAGTAACATCATGGCAAAAACTAAATTGATTTCGGTTTCATTTTACGTCACGTTAACATTTTGGTCATGTGAAACGCTAGATGAAATGTCATATAGTTGCCAGACACACGATTTTTTTTCCTTTTTACAGAAATATACAAATGTCCGTGAAACTGCTCAAAATGGTGGCATTGCCAAATTTTTTTTTTTTTTTTTGCATCCATGACAAAGGTTCTCATAACAAAGATTTTGTGTTCGCATACTTTTAAGCAGAGAATCTCTCGCCTCCTACTTCCATCCTATTATTGTTCACTCTACGGTAACCTCCTGCTGGAAGTGGACCAATGTATAGGCCTACCAGGACTATATTGGGACCAATCGTACCCTACGCACGTGTGCCGAATGTTGCAAGAGGCACATTTTATAGGCTCGTAGCATTTCATTCCAAACGGAATGAATTGCGTTTTAGGGATGCGTCCTGCAGTTGAGATCTTACATGTTATTCGGGCAATCAGATTGGAAGACAGACTGTATTACCGAGGTGGACGGTTTTTGTCGAAACTTACGCACGTCTTCCAGCCGACTGTAATGGTTATGACAGGAGTGTGCAAACATGCTGAGTATCGGAGCCGCATGTGGTAATTTTCCGTAGTTTGGAAGCCGCGAACAGGCGTTCATTGGTTGACATGGGTGTTTAGGTGCATGTTTTCCATGCAGCAATTTTTTTTTATATTTAATCTATTTGTAAAAAGAAATATCGATGAATCTGTTTCCGCGAGCCGCGCTAGTGGCTCAGAAGAGCCTCATACGACTCGCGAGCCACAGTTGGAACCCTAATTGGTTAGGTATTCGCCGTTTGTGTGAATGTCATTGATTTACAGTGTTGCCAATCAAGGAACATGATGTTTAGGATACGATGTGGCAATTACTTGGCGGAAGCTTGAAGCCATGTGCCATGTATGGGCAATCGTTTTGCGGGTAGGAAGTAAAGCCAACGTCTGGAAGGTCAAGGCAGGCCACTTCGGACACAAGGTAAACCGAATAAATGAGATTACCATTCATTATTCCAATAGAGCGTGATCGCTTTCAGCATGAACAACCGAGGTCACTTCGTCTTCGTGTTTTGTTGTCCCACGAATGGAAAGGAAGGCGGAAAATCGAGAAGTGATGTCTCACCGGTACGTCGACCTGTTTCCTTTGTTTCTTGTTTTACGTCACCACTTGACAGTGACGATTTCGCAAAGTTCTTAATAGCGGAATACGCTACAGTAGCAGCATCGACCCTTTCTACCGCACACCATGCGTGATATTATTGCACAAACCAGCCCACCAGGACAAGAGTACCATTATTCTATTGTCTGAAATAGTTAATAACTCAGTGGGTGGAAACATTGGTAAACTAATTATAATTGTGAAAGTGGAAAGTGGATTATATGTGTCAGAAGACATCTGGCCTTCAGATGTTTCCACTCCCACCCCACTCAGTAAACAGGTCTATTTAAATCAGCATACCGAATTTTCCCACCTGATGTGTTGGACATTATATAATGATAATTATATTAATAGCATCATAATTGACTTCAACATGTCGAGATGTACCGTATCACTGAAGGGGGTACAGTCTTACACCCTCCCCCCATGTTATCTCTACTGTACAAAAAGTAGTTCTGTATTAAAATGCATCAGGGGATGAATTAGTCATTTATAGCAGAACTTGTATTTATTTCATTATTCAGATTTGTAAAACATTTTTATTTAAATTGTAGGATCATGAAGGGCATGAAATTGCAGAATGCAGTAAAGACATGCAACACAATGGTCACATCCCAAAATGGAGGCAGCTGTGTTTATGACCAGTGATGAGTTGTGGGATGGCAGAAAATTTCAGTTGGTTTAAAGAGATGTCACCAGAAAAAGAAGTGGAAACATTTGTCATGGCCACATTCATTGGCACAAACTATACTGCATTTACATACCACTAATCTATTTTTCTACAAATTTACCATAACATAAGTTGTACAGTTTTCACCATTAGAAATTTAAGGACCCTACATTAAATGCTGCAAGTGTTATTCTGCATTACAAGTTCACATCTGTATTTATGTTTTTGATGATAAATGTGAGGATGAAGAGGTTTCAGGTGACATAATGTTCATCAGAATCAAGTGTCATTGTGTTGTTAATTGAACAGAAGGATAGAAAGATATTTGAAAGTCATTACTGTAGTTCTAAAGAAGGAATTCACCAATCACAGTGGCCTCACATCATGAGGCATGCACTGTCTTCTGACGCTCATATGGTAGGTTCAGATCCCACTCAGGGCATGGTTGTATGTTTACATTTTTACTGTGTTTGTGGTGTAGATGCCTTGTGATGGGCTGATCCCTCATCCAAGGATTCCTGCCAAGTGTCTGTCAGCAAGGACCCCACTGGCTGACCATGCCACGCAAAAGGAATGAAGGAATTTTGTTCTTCAAGGCTCTCCTCCCTAAAAAAATGCTGTGATGCTGTGCCAGCAGAGAAAGCTTCAAGACCCCAATGTCCTAGAGAGATATACAGAGACCACAGATGTTAAGTTACTCTTAAATGTTTCATCAAAATTCCTGCATGGTTTCTAGTACTATTTCTCGTCAGGAATCCTGCTTGGCATATTGCAGTATGGCAACATGTGGGTCAACTTCTAAAGCACTTCCTGTGTTTGTTTCCTAGTCATCCTATAAAACTGTGAGCTTCTGTATCTGAAGTTACGGCCATAACATTTGTGTGGAAGGTCACACAGTCCATTCACTATGAACAGTCTCATTTGTAACTGAATTCATGTCTTCCACATGGCAAATAGACTTGATCTGCAAGGTTGTGTGTGTGAACTGCTAAACACAGGAAAAAGGGATATAACGGTGACAGAGAAAGGAAAGAGGTTGAGTCAGTTCTTGTAGGTAACTTGGATACAGTTAAGAACCACGAAGGCAAGAAGAAGAATTATAACAACATTAAAATAACATAATTTATTTTGTATTTGACACTAAGCAGTGCTTATTTTTGTTTTTAATTTTTGTACCCAGCACCAACAAGAATAAGATACCAAAGCCTAACAGATGATTCACAGATCTATTCTATAATAGATGGAGTGGAGGGAACATATTGCAAAGATGGATGAAAATAGATTGCCAACTGAGGGGCAGAAGATTACAAGGATGACCACAAAAAAGATTTCTCCCTTAGAAGCCAGAACATGCTGTGACCTGATCCATGTATGCAGAAGAAGAAAAAGACCACTACATGAAATTGTAGTGAGACATGGAGGCAAAGCTGCCTGTTTCTGTAACCCTCAAGACTGGATAGAGACAAATGGTCAGTGATTATCTTGATTTGACAATACACTGAATACTGAATGATGAAAAAAGTACTGCACCTGGCAAGTAGAAGATAAAAAAAGGTGATGGCATATGAAGATCTGTAAATATGGACCTGTGATTTCTGGGCTTCTCAGCACTGAATGAGGTGAATGGCTGTCTGCTCTATATCCACAGAAAGAGCCCCAGGTGAGATGAGAGGGCCAGGAACTGAGCAGGACATGTGGTGCTTTCTAGTGGAGCTTTCATGCACCTGAAAAACAAAACTGTTACTCAGCTTTTGAAATATTGTCATCCCATCTTTAATATACAGGACTGAAACATAGATATTGACAAACAACAACAAAGAGCAGAAGTTGTGGATGCAGAGCTTCCCAGGAATGTGACTAAATATACTGACATACCAGATTACAAACACAACACATTAATACAAGTATTATAAGTATTATGTTTTTGGACATTATCCATTGTATTGTCTAATTATTTAAAAAACCATCCTGTTTCGGAGACTGGATTCTGTCTCTGTCCTGAGGTAAAACCTCAGTTGGGTCCATTTGATAGAGCTAGCCCGGAGATAGGTTTTACCCGAGGACGGGGACAGAATCCACTCTCCAAAACGTTGTGTTTTCAAAAAGAAACAGGACGGTTTTTTAGAAAATAGATGACTATGGATAATGTCCAAAAACACAATACTTGTATGTCACAATCCTATGGGCATCCACGGCCTGTTACAGGGATAGCTTTACCTTTCTGTTATCTGTAAATCAAGAAATACTAATATCATCTTAATTAGTGCAGTATTTTATACCCTTTGTGGGATGTCATGGAAATAAAATACTTTGACCCCTACATCTGCTGCCAGCACAGTATCTGTCAGTATGAAACTGTTCATATTTATTTGTGTTTCTTGACTGTTACAGGTATTTCTGGATCATCGTACCAAGGAGGAAGTGCTTATGTTGGTAGCTGCTAAAACAAATGGTGCAACTCCACTAGTGATGGCATGTCGTAATGGCCATTATGATGTAGCAGAATACCTCATAGAACACTGTAAAGCTGATATTGAACAACTAGGATCAGGTAAAATCCGTTTGCCAAGAGATAAAACACAGTTCCCTCAATATAGCAGCAGCTTGCTTATAGCAAATAACAATGTTCTCCTCACACACGGATGTTAGGAGTAAGCAGCAATCAAGTGAGACCCATTGCTGCATCATTCTGTTTAGTACTATCATTAGTCCTATGAGTATGTATGTAATGTGTTGTGTAGTGTAACCAGGGCTCCTTCTTGGGTCCATAGGGTCCGTGATCTTTCTCCCTCCCAGGCTGTGATTATGTGAGAACTGCTATGTATGATTTTTTTTTTTAATTTGTGGTACTGCTATAGCATATAAAAATATGAAAATTTGTTAAAAGCCCATTTTCTTCAGAAAACATTTCTATCAGTCATGGAACTTATTCATGTTTAAAATCTGAATTGTATGTCATTGCTGTGTGAAAGGAAAGTTCCTATTTTAAGACCTTGCTATCAGCATACATGAATACTACAAAACCTCATTTTTATCCATTTTGCACAGTGCTCAATTTGTTGGTCAGAGTATATATAGAACTAATGATTTGTATTTTTCTAGTTATCACAGAAATAGTGTCAGTTTTTTTGTCACATTCTCTGTCTTAGATTTTAACCACTGCCATCTGTGAGCTGAATGTCTATAAAATGTGCGAGCCTCAGACTCACAGCCCTATGGGCCTCCGTGGCCTGTTACAGGGTTAGCTTTACCTCTTATGTACCTTTATAGGAAATCAGTACAAAATTTAATGAGCAAAAGTTGTCATTATTATTAATGTTGTTTGTAAGCACAGTAAATGCCCAGTTGCAGACAGATTGTATTTTGGTATTACATGCAGTGCACAGTAGACTATTCTCTGTATGTAAACAAAATTTAATTTAAGTAATGTTAAACTTTCACTGATACAGTAAAAGTTCCATATAGTAAAGTACACATGAAAATCAGGGTGCCCAAATGTATAGGATGTATATGTATGTAACAGTATGTAATAATGTTTGTGAACGTTTGCATTTCGCTTTAGATTGTTTGAAACTTTGTTCTTTCTGGAATGACATTTGTAAAGAATTTTTGAAAATGAAGTTGAAAGGGGAAAAAATGTTACTATACCTTTGAGCTCTATTTTTAGCAGAAATTTGTCTTTATAACTTAGAAACTTGAGGAGTCATATGAGTTTTAATTTTGTAATCCAGAATATGGATAATGTAGCTCTGAAGAGAGACTTGGATTGTCACAAGCAGTCTTTTAAGATTTTGGGGTAACTAATTGACAGTGGATGTTGTATAGCAGCAATGTGGATCGGACATGGTAGCTGTTAAAATGTTGCTGTTTGCTGCCATAACTATTTGAGGATGTAGACTGGAATTGAAAACTTTTTTGTACATACAGTAGAACTTGGTTATAACGTCATCAAAGGGACCTAAAAATAGTGTCGTTATAAACGAATGTCGTTGTAACCGAAATGGGCACTTCCACAGTAGCCTTATGTTAGTCACGTAAAAATCTACCAAAAACCGAGTTAAAATGTTGCATTTTTTAGTGAAATACGTAGTTAAGTACAGACTAACATAACATTAACGTGGAATTGCCCAAATGTGTAATATCAAAGACATATTACAGCGCTTTTCACTGACAATACACACAATATTTCACGAATCACTTTAACTTTCTCTTCAATGCTTAAAACTTTCCTTTTCATTGCCATGTTTTCGCTACTGCACTTCTCTGGGTTTAGGCAGGAACACTATAGGGTAAGTAGACAATGTGAGGTCCTGTTAGACGAGATTCTAGGAAAGGAATGCAGTTAACAACCTGCCGCGTCCTCTTGCACTATTCACGCAGTCCCACCCCACACCCTTGTTTTCTCATAAAACCCACGCTCCTCTTGCAGCCCGCGGTCGTATTCTTCCAGGACAGTCACGTCAGCAAGTAGAGAAAGTGAGGGTGGGCAGACACATCGAACTTTCCCACCATATCAGAGAAATTCAGGAATGAAAATGACGTTACATACGAGGTTTATGCATTTGTGCATGTCGTACTAAGCAAGGTATAAAAACAGTTGCTTTATGAGGAATTAGTTCATATCATTGAATATTTGACGCAATAGACAAAGTGTCGCAGAAACCGATGTTGCTATAACCAAGTTGTACTATATATCTGTTTTTTAATAAGGGAGAAAAATGATGTTAATGATAATTTATTTAACATCTTATACTTTCACTCTGAATATTTTGCAACTTTAAAATATTTTGTGTTTAAAATAATTATGTATGTTGTGTGCAAATGACATTTCTAGTCAGACATTTGATAAGGGTTTGGATTACATTTGAATATTATCTGCATAAGTAAGGTATGACAAACTACTGGGAAATTTGTTATGGATTTTATCCAGAAACAAATGAAAGCAATAATCTATAAAATGTAAATAAGAAACTGTTTATGCTTGTAACAGTAAATATCCTGCTCTAGATTCAAATGAGTATTTTTTCTTTGATTTTGTACAGTTACTGAAAATCTATAGCAATGAAAGCTATGTTGTTGGTTTTTCTGACAGTTGTCTTTGATGGAGATACTATCGAAGGTGCCCCACCACTGTGGTGTGCTGCAGCAGCCGGACATTTACCAGTGGTTCGTCTGCTAGTTCGTAATGGGGCCAGTGTCAACAGTACTACACGCACCAATTCCACGCCACTTCGAGCAGCTTGTTTTGATGGGCATTTTGAGATTGTTAAGTTCCTTGTAGACCATGGTGCTGGTGAGTTTAATTATTTTAAAATCTTCGTGAAATACTGCTTAAAGAACTGATTCTTTAAACAGTTTACACCATATCTGTGGAAAAACAAAAAGTGGAATTAATTATGGAGGACACGTGGAACAGATGAGAAATTCATACAAAATTTTGCCTGAAAATCTGAAAGGAGGAGATCACATGGAAGACCTAGATGTAGATGGGGAAATAATAATAAAATGGATCTTGAAGAACTAGAGTGGGTGGATGTGGACCAGATTCATCTGGCTCAGGATAGTGACCAATGGTGGGCTGCTATGAATGTTTGGGTTCCAGAATAGGCAGGAAATTTGACTTTCACTTATGAAGGTTAGGATTATAGGTGGAGAGAGTTGAGTAAGAAGTGTGCAGGGATGGAAGTTGGTTCAATTTTATATCAGTAGCAATGAAAGGGAATCATCCCTCAACTGTACACAGGCTGCATCTTACTGATGTTAATTAAAACTTTTGTTCCAGCTTATCAGACAGTTCTGAAAAAGTTGCTTCACTAAGCATAGCTAACTTCATGGCACAAAGCCTTTCTCGACAAACTGACAGTTACAAGGAACATATTCCTACTTTTTATGGAAGCCGAAGTTTCATTGCCATATTCACAAGAGCCCAAACACTGGTCCCTGGCCTGAAGTAAATGAATCTAGTCCACTCCCTCACACCGTTTCTTTAAGGTCCAGTTTATTATAATCCTCTTATCTGTGCCTACGTCTAGGTTGTTGAGTAATGACATGATATTTTATATACTTTATATATAATCTTTACTTCTATATATATGTGGTTAGGTACAGCAACATTATTTTATACAATGGGTGAAGTCAGAATATGGTTTGTATTTACACCTTTAAACTGCTTTAAGTAACTCAATAGAATGGGTACTATTTGCTAGTTTTAACAGCTGTATCACCTGTGCTATTTTTGGACAGATATTGAAGTTGCAAATCGCCATGGTCACACATGCCTCATGATTGCCTGCTATAAAGGACACTTCCGCATCGCCAGGTTTCTTCTCGGTCTAGATGCTAATGTGAATCGTAAGAGTGTGAAAGGAAATACTGCCCTTCATGACTGCGCAGAATCAGGAAGCTTGGAAATACTCAAACTGCTCATAGAACATGGAGCAAAAATGGATGTAGATTCTTACGGTATGCAGTTTACTTTACACTACACTACACTTTGAAATGTAGTGAAAATGTAAAAATGCAGTCTTTTTCAGTATACATACATATTCTTAGTCTGCTTGTGATTGTATCCTTGTAGCATGAGTGTTTGTGGAGTCCAATATAGTAAACCTGGCACAGAATTTTTCTGAAACTGTTTTTATATACTATATGTCTGTACTATGACCTCATATACTTTCTTGTCCATTTGATGGCCCAGTTGCTTTATTTGGTGGTATCATTTCACCACACGTATCTTCCAAAATATATGTAAAAAGCGATCTCTGGTCATTACATCACCAAAAAATTTTATGTTTTCCTCTTACTAGACCAGTAGTCTTTAATGCAGGGCAACAGGATTAGGCCCATCTTTATAATTATACCTAAAAACGCCTTCAATTCAGGAACTGACACATCAGACCACATACTCCAAATGAACCTCGTGCTAAGCTGAATTTCCAAAATGTAACATTAAGCATGTAATGTCACAGATCAGTACTCACATAGTATGTCTCTGAAATAGACTGAACACCTTTGCATCAACAATATTTTTTTATTTACATCCTATCACCATTTCTACAATAAAGATGGGGAGAATATGTGCCTCCAAAACATAGATTCCCCCCCTCCCCTGCAAGACTACACCCAGAAAACCACAGTATGTACATTTATGCAGGTCTATCATATTAATTGCTGTATTTACTGTTGGCAGGAATGACACCACTGTTAGCAGCTAGTGTTACAGGTCATACACACATTGTCGAATATCTTATCAAGTTACCAGACTTGGTTTCTCGAACAGAGAGGGTGGATGCATTGGAACTACTTGGAGCCACTTATGTTGATAAAAAACGAGACATGATTGGTGCTCTTGAACTCTGGAAGAGAGCCATGGATGACAGGCAAGATTACTTTTCTACTCATATTGAAGTTCTTTTGTTTTTCAATTAAGATCTCTCAGTATTTGTGGATGAGATAATTTAACTCATATTCACACCCAGTACCATCCCAAATCTTTAATACATTTCATAGTATATTTTTATGTATGGTAAAGATAAATTTCCTTAACCCTTTAGTGTCTGTGAACAAAATATTGCCTCAACTATGCACTAATTGTTCCCCAGATGTAATTGTTTGTTATGGAACCTCTCTAGTATAGTTGGTAAATGAGAAGATTCAGAAGTGTTTTATTTTAAATTGACTTTCTATGAAAGTAACTCATATAAAGTTGAAATTTCATTTCCAGGTATCCCATAGGCTCCACACATCTACCCAAACCAAACCAGAGAAATACTGTTGCAGCCTATGATCATGCAAGAGAAATTAGAGATCTGGAAGGTTTAGAAGACTTACTAGCAGATCCAGATGAAATGCGGATGCAGGCACTTGTAATTCGTGAGCGTATCTTGGGTCCAGCTCACCCTGATACTAGCTATTATATTCGTTACCGAGGAGCAGTATATGCAGATGCTGGAAAATTCAACCGTTGTGTTGCTTTGTGGAATTATGCCCTGGACATGCAACAAAGTATGCTGGAACCTCTTAATCCCATGACACAGAGTTCCTTATTTTCCTTCACTGAGCTTTTTTCATTCATGATGGGTGAGCAGGGACGACCATCAACCCGGGGACGACGTGTTCCGCCTGCCGCTTTCACAGACTTGATGACTGTTTTCAAGAAATCAGTACGTGAGGTAGAAGCAGGTGTAGAGATGCTAGACAAGATTCCAGGAGGAGAACGAGATGCAACGTACCTTCACCGTGTACTAGTGATTTCCCTACACCTAGCATGTTTATTAACCAGACTTCTACCAGATGTGTCTTCTGAGCAACGCCACAAAGTGCACTGTTTCATGTACAGACTTGTGAAACAAGATGTTCACACACGTTTGGGGTGCACTGCTCTCCACTTAGCTTGCTCTATTGATGCTGCTTTGGTAGGTCGTTATCCTGCCTGTCAGTTCCCATCATCCCATCTGGTCGATGTTTTGTTAACGGTTGGTGCTGATGTAGATTCTCGAGATGAAACAGGAAATATGCCTCTTCATTTGGCAGCAATGAGCAAGCCATGTCCACCTGCACTGGTACGCAAGCTATTGGATCATGGTGCACATTTGGATGCAGTAAATTCAGCTGGGCACACCTTTCCCCAGTTGCTCAAAGGACAAGCTATACATGAAATAGTAAATCCATTGAAATACACAACCCTAAGCTGTCTCGCAGCAAGAGTTATTGTCAAACATAATATACCATACAAAGGAATTATACCAGTAACACTAGAGCCATTTGTAGAGCAGCACTGAATAATAATGTGTTTTCACCAGCCACAAGTCTGTATGGTGCATTGTTACAAATACTGACCTATTTAAAAGATCAGGTCATATGTCACTATCAGGAAGTCATTGTGTCAATATACACCATGTTCAGTTTCAAATCTTCCCTTGACTTCTGGTCTGGTAATAAACACATGCCATATTACTATAATTGTGATAACTTTTGTAAGGCTGTCATGGAAATATGGATGTGATATTTTTTGTGAGATTGCCTGTATATAAATTTCTCAAATATAATTTAAATCCTTGATGTGTTGTCCCTGAGCTCTGTTTTAGGAGTGGGACATTATCATCATTCAAACCCAGCTGGCATGAATTGTCATTGGAAAAGTGACAGTGATGTTAAATTTTTCAACATGTTACGTTAAGTTTGTGAAAATTGAACTCCATAACCAAAAGTGCTTTTCCACTGTTTTTCAGGTTGGTCAGTCACTAGTCTGTCGTTTGCAGTGGTACTGTTTTGCTCTAAAACTTGCTGCTTTTCTTACATAATTAAAATAATTGTGTTGCAATATGTTTTTGTTTGTTTTTTTAAGTTTGTTAACCAAGTTTGTAATTTTTGTGGTATTTTATAACCACTGTATAAAGATTTACAGATTTACTTTCAAATGATATGAAATGCTAAAATTATTTTGGGGACTTCAATTCTGAATTTTAGAATATGGTTCTTCCTTGAAAACAGGAGTTAGGCATTGTTAAAAGCAAGATATGCAGAGAAATTATTATTAGTTGTTATGGCATTTCAGTTGCCCTAATAATGTTAACAGTGTCTTACCATTATACGAGCTAATTAAATTACATAAATAATAAAATAGTGGGAATAAAACTTGGTACATTTTAATTCATATCCTCCTGTTTCCATGTTAATACACTGGCTTACTGTCAAAAGTGTAAGTCATGCATATTTCTGGAATTTCTCTGTTTTAACAAGCACTTCTTACATGTTTGATGTGACTTGTACATTCATACTGTTCAAACTTCTGCTAATAGAAGGGAAATATTAAATGCATCTTCTAGATGCCATTTTTTTTTATTTTCTTAATTCTTGGTTACCTTCAAGTTTGTTCAGTTTTTACCATTCAGTGCCAAGACTAATGGTACTGTAAGCAAATGTAAAATTTCTGTTGAATATAAATGATGCAATGGCAACAGACACAAACAGAATGGTCAGCATGAAAGTTATGTGGAAGTAAGGAGATTTTGGTTTTCTGGGACCTGATGCCACACAGTTCAGTACATGGGTACAAACACAATTTCAACTCCTTACTGCCATTTCCAAATAAATGAAACATTTCGAAGACTATTAGCTAACTACATACAATTTCTTCTCATACTGTAGTAAAGGAACAATGGATCTAACATCTGCTACAAAAATGAGTGAACTCATATGTTTGGTCAGAGCAAATACTGAATAGTGGAAAAATGTCGTCACATAGAGCGAGTATGTAAAAATAATTCCGGTTGTCACACCTTCAAGTATGTTGATAGCCTGAGGTTGTTCAGGCCTCGCACCCTTATTACTTGGCTTCTTATTTTCTCACCAGGTGGGTTGTTAGCCCATCGTGGAACCCCTAGAGAATCTGTCTGCACTACAGCTAATTCACTTCTGCATAACCCTAAGCAGGACCCATTGCCAGCTACTGACAGCCAGAATAACTTGGCCTGGGATCAAATATGATCATTGTAGACTTCACCGTGGCATTTCTGTGCTGGCGTACAATATGAACTGCTTAATCTTGTGAAGTTGTCCCTGTGTTTCATTATGCAAGCACCACACCAGGAAGTTGTGTAGGGAGAATGCAAGTATGGCTCCACTAGATGGGAGTGGCCAGCTTCAGCCACTTTGCTCAGTACCCACTGGACAGGAGGCTTGGTGGGCTCCAAAGCTGGCCCAGATTCTGTGAAGAAAAACCTCTAGCCCATAGCATGTCACTCTACTGACAGCTTTCCCAGCTCCTTATTGCTTAATCTTAATCAGTTTCTAATCATTTTAGTTCAGATATGAACATTTCTGAAATATAAATTAGAATGTGGACTTTAAATTACTACTAAATTATTTTATTCATTTGAATCAGACCTTATGGAAGTAGGACGTGGACTGGGTTCAACTGCCTCAGGACAACTATCAGTGGCAGGCTCTTGTGAATACGGTAATGACCCTTCAAATTTCATTACTAGCTGAACAACTATTAGCTCTTCAAGGAAACCCTGCTTACTGTAATATGGTCTGAGTACAGCAAAAAATACAGTCATTTGCCCACAAGTACTGTCACACCACAAACTTTCAGATGATAAATACCACATGAGTATTAACTCATGTTCTGTCAAATCTAAGGACCTCAATCTGGAGTCAAAAATGTGTTTTGACACTCTGCAGATGCTCGACAGCCACGTGGAAAGCCCAGAGATTGATGAACACACATTATAAAGAGAATTATTACATTCAATTTTTTGTTCGCTATAGTTCCTACATGTCACATTGTTGGGCAATTTCAGACACTGAAGGTAACTTAGAAACACAAACTGTAATTGACACTAGTAAGGAGGGTGGTCTAGAAGTAAACACAAAGAAAGCATACGTATATGTTGCTATCTCATCACCAAAATGCAGGGCAAAATCATGACATAAAGATAGGTAACAGATGTTTTGAAATGTGGCAGAGTTCAGATATTTGGGAACGACAATAACAAATCAAAACTTAAGTGAGGAGGAAATTAAAGGGAGACTGAACTTGGGTAATGCTTGCTATCATCCAGTTCATAACCTTTTGTCTCGTGTCTAAAAAAAAATTAAAATATACAGAACTATAATTTTGCCTGTGGTTCTGTATGGGTGTGAAACCTGGTCTCTGACTTTAAGGGACAAACACAGACTGAGGGCGTTTGAGAAGAGAGTGCTGAGGAGAATATTTGGACCGAAGAGAAATTAAGTGACAGGAGGTTCGAGAAAGCTGCATAATGAGGAGCTTCATAACCTTTGCTCTTCTCCAAGTATAATTAAAATGATCAAGTCAAGGAGGATGAGGTGGGCAGGTCATGTAGCACGAATGGGGGAGACGAATGCATATAGGATATTGGTGGGAAAGCCAGAAGGAAAGTACCCACGGGGAAGACCAAGTCATAGGTGGGTGGACAATATTAGAATGGATCTTAAGAGAGATAGGATGGGACGATATGTATTGGATAGATCCGGCTCAGGATAGGGACCCATGGAGGGCTCTTCTCAGCTCCAGGAGTGAGGTAATTTAAGATAATCTCTTAAACTTGGCTGATGGCATCTACCCCCAGGTTTCAGCCATTTTGAATCTTAGTAAAATGAAACACGAATCATATACAGCCTTGAGTGATTTAGACTAGCTCTTTCTAACAGGCCCAACTGAGTAGGTTTATCTTTCCCTACCCACCTGAAGACGGAGACAGATCCAGTCTCCGAAACGTTGTGGTCTTTTGTCTTTTACATACCAGACGATGGACGAAGTCCAAAAGAAGTACAGTATACACCATCGCCAGAATCCTTTCAAGTCTATCTATAAATTTCCTCAGAAAATGTGCTGAAATGTAATAATATAGATGTAAAACTGTCAATGTGCTGTGACAGATATCACTAACTCCACAGACAGGACAACTGGGCCTCAATTCCCAGTATGGGCACAGATTTCTCTTTGCAATCACCTGCAGGTTGGACCTGGGGCTCACCTAGTCTTCTATCCAATATCTCTGAGTGTTCCTTTTCCAAGAGGTGAAGTGGTTGGACAGTGAAGCTGACCTACAGCTGAGGTTAATGCAAACTGATGTTGACTCCAACCCCACCACATTTTCATGGTGTGTTTAAGAAAAGACATTGTTGCCAGAATATAATATTTCAAACTGTGTTATAATAATGCTTCCAATTAATCAGACATATTTTAATCAAAATGACATAATAGAATCTTTAATTTATGAATTATTTTGCTGCAAAATTAACTGACATAAAAACCGATGTTGTAAGTCTAAAAGTGACATGAAGCTGAGCCAGTTTCTAATCTGACAGAAAAGGCTTAACAGAAGATATATATTTTATGAGGTTCATTAGTATAGAAATCTTAAGGTACAGCTTATACCTCACATTTCTGTGGCCACTATGTTGGCTTAAATTTGAGGAATAAAAATAGGGTTGTGGGGTACAAATTTATCTTCACTTTAATAAAAGACAATGTCCAGTTCATTGTAAAAGTTATGGGGCAACCCAGTCCCCAACCACGCTACACTTATTATCACTCAATACACTGGAGCAACAGGGATTAAAAAACTTGCAATCCATATCATCATCTCTTTTGTATTTAATTATTCTGATCTTCATACTTTACAGTGTACATCACAATTGCCTACAGAGTTGTTCATTCTTCCATTACAAATTCTCACATGTCACAAACAGAACATGTAATTTGTTATCATTGTGGAAGCTGAATGTAACTCATTTTAAGGATAAATTTATTACAGTTCAAAATGTATTAAAAACTGAAGCAAACAAATATATTTAAAAATGTGCCAGTAGGTGGTGTTTTGAAATCACAGTATGAATACTATAAAACAAATGGAATTATACAAGAAATGAAAGCATGAACAAACCTTAAAATGATCAATAAGCACACAAAAATGGCAAGAAAAAATAGATCACACTGCTGAACTGTGTAAGAAAAGAAAGATCACCACAAGACCCAACAGTGGATAGAAGGCATAACAGCCCATCCAGCATATGCAACCAGGAATGATACCGGATCCAGCAAGAACACATCACAGCCTTCAGTGCCCACCAGCTTTTGGTATTAACACAGCTCCATGCCTCACTGCAACTGTGAATGAGATACAAGGTTAAACACAAGCTTACCAGCTGTCTCAAATTCCAAAAGAGTACAAAAGGACATTACCTCTGGCTTCACCAAGGCCATCCTCAGCTGATCTGGGTTATGCTCGCTCTTGGGATGTCCTGCTCTATTAGCAGGAATCAGCAGAAGACAAAAGCAGGCAATCTGGCATGGAACATCAGGCAGGATAATGGCACTGGTTGGATCAACAACAGTGGTTCTCAGGACAGGTTCCTCAACATGGCCTATGCTCTTCAACTCAGCTGGATAGGCAGCCTGATATGCCCTCCAGATATTAACCTTTACTGTCTTAGAATTAGGGATTTAAATCTCCCACTACTACAGTGCTAGCAGTCAGATTTCAATTTGGGGTGGGGGGGTGGGGGAATATATTTATTATTTTACAGACAGTGTGATAGTTGGCCTCCTTGACCCACACCTGCAGACTGACTGTAGTACATCACACAGATGATAAAAGTTTAAGGGGTATCAAATGCTGCTCAAGACACTCAGTGCTATGTGGGCCAATTGTGACCATGATGCAAATTACCTGGATGCTTACAATCCACTGATGCACCAGAACTACTGGCTCCTCCACATCCAACTGGGCAACATACTGCTACTTGGGGCATCTTCTCAGATGATGGCACCATCCTTCCTTATATTTGAGTTGAACAAGTACTATTCAAGCATTCTAACAAGCAGACAGAGGCTGTGACTACAGCAATATAAGTACCTTTTATATCTCTATACACCTAGATTCTTACAAAAGGACTCTGTACATACCATTATAGGAAGTGTCCATCCACAGTAACCATCCTGGGAAAAGAAAAAGATTAGGAATGCGGAATAATAAAACGTTGGTTTTCAGTTATTTAAAAGCACACAGAAGACAAACTGTAGTTTCATAAAATATGACAATCCTGCATAACAATAAAGAGTATTATCACGAGGGCTACAATTGCCTTGGTGGTGGTGTGCCTTGATATACAACGGCCACTGTATAAAGCAGTCATGTATGAAGGAAAACACTATAAATACAAACAATTTGGGAAGTGTATGTACAGTGTAACAATTCTGGTGCATTTGCTCCCTTTAGACTTATGGAAAAATTGGATTAAGCATAGTGAGTTTCATTATTGTTCACAATTTTGTTCCACACAAATTTTCCTCCATGTTCAGAAAGTTAAGTTTGACATGTGCACAGTGATGTGTGTAGGTCATGTCATACAAAGTGGCATTTACAGCTGTCCAATTTCAACCAACTGACATGGGCTAACAAATTTTAGTCAAACACTCCAATATCAAATTTCTTGAAAATCCATTCAGCTTTCTTCAATTACTTCATGTACAGAGCCAGATGGAGTGATTTTCAATGGGCAAGGATGTGAACCCACCTGAAAAGGAGTGTGGAACCTATCTACTGGCAATAAAAACTAGCAACATCAAAAGGTGAGCAAACAAACTATCAAAAGTACTGTATAAATCATACCCCTTCCTTCAACAATTAACTGAAGAATACTGACCACACATGGGTTGTATTACAGTATAGTTACTGCAGAAGTTTATATTAAAACCCAAAATGTTATCACAGAAAAACTTAATAGATGTCACAGAATAACTTACATCACAGAAAAATGTCCTTCAATACTGCTGAAAACCTGCTCTGTGAACTGGTGTAGTAACATCTAATATGTTCTCAAAGAAATGTAGCAAAAATGCAGACAAATCACCATTCAGTGTGATATGAAATACATTAAATTTCTGCATAGCCACAGCAGCCAGTATTTGGAAACAGTGATTCAGAATCAACTGAGCTTCCCACTGTACTTCTGTGGTTACTGTATCAACTGCAAATGTTATGCAGCATCATGTGACTGACATATGACAATAGTATGAATGGTGGAGGGGACTTCCCGTTACAATCTCTGTGAAGTTAATGTTCTGTCCATCTGAAAGAAAAAACCTGTAATCTGGCTAAAATTCAAATCAAGTACCTGTCACTACAGAGCTAACTCTGGTTGCAGCTTTCTTTGGCATGCCACTTGTCTTCAGTCTTGGTAAATAAGCAGTTCTCTTTGTTGAAATCATTTTTCAGCTCTCCTGTAGTTTCCGTAATGCTTCATTCAAAGTCCCCTAGTCTTAATCTTGATCCGTCATGGGTCCAAGATTCTGTAACTCCTCTGGAATTTCTTATAGTCGTAAGGGAGTCAGGCTGCAACAACATATATCAGTATTAGCACTTCAACTAAAATCTGTCAGAAGTTTTACATATGTACTTTATATTTAAAACAACTAATTTGATGATATCACTTACATTATATTTATTCAAATAATTAAGACTCTTTTAACTTATCTAACACTATAGCTATATGGAATAAATTCTCTAAGTCCAGTACTTTCCACAATGTACTGAAACGGAACACTAAAAGAATAAGATTTAATTTAATTCACATTACAATCAACTCTTTCCACTTCTGTGTTTTAATTTCAATGAAAATACTTTCCTGTTATCTGTAGCTTTCCATTAAAAGAATATAGTTATTTGCTTTCTAAAGTCACACCACACAAAATGAGTTAATAAGGTCCCTATTTTCATTATTAAATCTTCTGACCATCCAATACAAGTGAAATCATCACACATACCCATATTCAACAGAGATGGTAAATCTGTGCAGATACAGAAAGTTCTAGTTGTTATGCAAGAGATAAAAGTACAAACAGATGAATATAATCACCCCAAAGTCTGAATAAATCACCAAGATTTGCATCTGAACACATGCACCACATCACCACATTTGTTCCATTCTTGGCTTGTCCCAACATCATGCTGTGTAATTTTTCTATGAACATGGTTAGCAACATATCCCTACTACATGAACATATTTTCCTTCGCTTCACCCCTCCTCTTCAGTCTTGGGTCATCTCTATTGAATATCAGTACAAAATTTATCTGACAAAGAATCCCTACATGAAGATGTATTAACGAGGACGCCAACACGATTCTGTTTCTTCATACAACTGCCATTTTACCAGAAGCTCAGGTGCAGACCAATCAACTCCTATAAGAAACAGCTTGGCAGGACTGAAAGCCAAGAGGCTGAACTCTTCTAACATCTTCCAACTGAAAAAGATATTCAACTTAACAACCATAAAAAACATCCAAATGCTGTTGCACATCCTTTCTTCTGAAGTCTCCTAACTTCAAACTTCAAAACCATCAATGTTTTGCAACCCTATCACTCACTACCAACTAAACACTGATTAATTTTTATATAGTCAAGGAAAGGTTTTCGTACTTCGCAGAATAAGGAATAAATACTACACGAAACAGGTTTTATGATGCAGGGATATGGTAAACAGGCATCAGAGAGAAACAAAAAGGATACTGAACACCACAGATAAAGTTTCAATCTCCAGAATTTACTGTTTCACTTCCACAATTAATTCATGAAATACCAAAGTTTATATCTTCAAGAGAAAATAATGGATGACGTGGATCAGTGAAGAGGATTCTATCTCCAAGATTTGTGACTTTCATTCAGAGTCCTGCATCGGGTTGCACTATACATCACAAGAACAAGCCTCATCATGTCCAACACTACCCCTTTGCACAGTTGCTATGAACCTAAGATGAAGAATGACACATTTTTTGATACGCAGAAAACTTGATACCCCTCATGTTGTACTGAAATACAGCAGAACAAATAATGGCGGGTATACTCAAAGGAAAGCATCTCTCCTTACTTAGGGTTCCCAGTTTATAGAAGTTCAATATTAGAAAAACCAAGTCAGATTAATATACAGATGTTCACTATCTCTGCATGAATTATAACGTAGCATGTGCTCATCATTTTCATTATGTCAAAATGAATACACTCATTATTGTCATAAAGGTGAGTGGCTGGTATAAAAAACAGAAAGTTGCTGTCTTTAAACCTGCCCATAAAGTACTCCACACACATGATACCTCCCTCCAAGGGCAGAAAGAAGTACCATGTGTAACAGTTCTTTTCAATTTTGCTTAAAATAACTGTGTGAAGTTCATTTATATAGACATGGAAACAGAAAAGATGAGAAGAGGACAATTCTTAACCAACAAAAGTTCAATGGGCTCGATTAAATTTCATGTCACTGTTTTAACAAAATTTATTACCCATCTGCCACTTCATTATCTCCATTGTACACAAACCTTGCTAAATATTTATGACATATAGATTAGACACTTTGAAAATAAATATCTATGCCCTGAACATGTACATAATTTTTTAAACACTCCAAAAGAAACTGGAATAAGAAACTTGACTAGAAGGTACACAGAACATTTTAAAGGATCCCCAAAATTTAAAAAGTTATTTTGGGAAATTAAAAGTAACACCTGGACAGTGTAATCTATCTACATTGCTGGAGTGCAAACATGGTGAATTAAATTGATTCAATGACTGTCACTGTTGAGAGTATTTAGTCTCTCTCCTGGTAGTAAAATAGCATTGTACAGCACGCAACAAAATATTTTATGCCCATTTTAAAAAGTATATGGTGGAAAGCAAATCGCATAAAAATTATGTATACACATCATGTGCCTAAAACATAAACCCACATATCTGCAGACTACTCTGCACAGGAAGAGTAAAAAGTTTTGTGAACTTTGCCAACCTCTAAGAACACCAAAGACAAGAGATGATGATTATCTAATGATTCAATCATAAGCATTTGAGTGTAGTGCTTAGTCTGTATTCAGTTCACATTCAGTCCATGAGGTCCAACTGCAGTAAGAATATTGTAAAACATCCAACCATAAGAGGAATTTGCATGTTAGTTTCCTCATGATAACAAGAAATCTGTTGTAACAGTACAACTACAGTTTCAAGCATTCTAAGATGTAAACCATTCTCTCAATACAATTTCTGAACAGCATGTGTACATACGAGCAAAAACAAAAAAGTAGAACGAAAATGCACATGAAGCCAACCATCCTTTGCAGGCCCCTTAAAATAGAATACAATGCTCAGTGAGGAACACTGCACAGCAATTTCGGTGATGAAGTGTTTTCATCTGTTGGGACAAGTGAATGTGAAAATGTGACTCTCCACCTGAATCCTTTGACCATGAATGTTTATCGCAATATCAAAAGAAAAAATTTACAGCCCTTTATTATTTGTGAAATTGAGAACACACTGCAGAATGGGTTAATGTTAACAGGCAGAGATGATGTGCAAAATCTAATTTTCTAAAAAGATGAAGTCCTGAAATATTTTTCATAGAGATGACATATCTGGATACACTGTTTCTTAATCAATATGAATATGCTACGAAGTGCCTCCTGCCAGACCTCATGCCAACTGATGTGTGTTTCTCTTTCCTGAAGGATAACAACTATGTTCGTTTCTCCCGTCACCAAGAGAACAGCTGAAGATGCACCACACAAATACTTGTATAACCTGACCACATTATTCTCAAGGACATAAATTCCACATTGCCTAAGTCACTCACAATGTCCATTATGAAATTTATTAACTTGAAGTATAACTCTCCTGAGTTCAATCTTATGGCACCTTCAACATTGTAACAGTACTTTAAACATATTCTATGCAACAAGACACTAATATACCACAGTTCATTTATATACATCCAGTTTTACACCTAAATACTATAAAAACTACAGAGAAAACAATTTTACTCCTCACAAGTGACTGCCGTAGAAACTGATGCAGGCAAAGAAATTTAATTTTAAATCTAAGATATCCAAACATAAAACTTCTTAACTTCTTTCACACTTCATTTAAAATTAAATCAGTTTTAAACAGAAATAACTAAATTCCTGGACATGAATTTCCTCACAATGAAGATTCAAATAACATATGAGAAAAACTCTGTACCCATTCAGATATATTTTAATATCCAAATCAGAGCACATACCAAAATAATACTAAAAAATACACAAATAAAAACGACCATCCACAGTAGATAACCATCCAAACATCACAACCAAGGAAATTTCAAGATGCCACAGAGAAGACTGATCATGCTGTAAATTTGTTTTATCTAAAACACAACTTCCCTGTGATAGTTTCATTAGTAACCATTACAAGAAACTTTTCTTGCTATCATTCCAACCATGTGAAAGAAGTAGCTGAATTTCAATCAGTGGTCGTATTTCTGTTTGTCCTGAAGAAACAAAAATAACTTCCATGCCTGCAGATTCAGAAAGTGAAATTTGTAATAAAAAATGACTTCAACCCCAGCCATTCAGTTGATGTTTCCTTGACAGACCACAATACAGCCTTAATTGCTTCCAAAGTCACTCGTGTTAATACTAGAAATATCTAATGCTTAATTTGCAGAAATAGCTTTTTCACATAGAAAAAAAAGTATCTTAGAGGGTGCAAGATTGATAACAGAATGCTAGACAGGCCTGCACTAAACTTTCTCCTTGCTTCTTTCCCTTTCACATCTTGGCTACTACTTCCCACAGCTGAAGACATTGAAATGTTAAGTGCAAAACTTGCATAATGTTGATCTTAATTAAAAACTGAACAACTGTATTGTAATTAAAATGGTACATTTTCAAGAGCACTATCGTCTGATATATGAAGCAATTTAGTCTGTTAGTTCACTTATTTTTTGCAGTAATGTGCTGATTCCATCTTCAGGATCAAAGAGTAAGCTGTGCAAGCCAGCAGAAAGACGTGCAAGTAAAACATGGAAATAGTAGTATATAGTCCTGAGGGAACCAACAGCAGCCAGAAGAGTACTAAGCACATCAAGCTGAGTGCCCTCTGAACCCACCTACACTTCACACTGGCCCTTCACTCTCTATTCTCTCTGCTGGGATGAAATATGGCCCATTTGGGTCACTAATAGTTCATTCTATTCCTCAACACCTTTAGTTAGCTAGAGCTACCGCCCCAGCCTACACCCATATCACTTTTCCATGCTTGGCTTACACTTTGACCCTGATGACAGCATATATTCCTCAAAAATGTTGAACTTCTACCAGACTACACGGCATCACATCCCAGAAGACAGTACACTTCACACCTACTGTAACAAAAACCTAAATTTTACACACATCTTTTTTCCTCATATGGACAAATATGAAATATGCAATTTATATGCACCCCACCCCCTCCACAAGTATAGAGAACACTTCAGCATTCTTGAAGTCCTGAAATGCTATACCAAAACATAGCTGCAGTGTAGACTACCTCCATTACGAGTAGAAGCAGTAATCAAACTAATGTTGGACCATCTTTTTCCTCAAATCTGGGGCTTGAATTCTATTTGGTGAATACCCAAAAGCATACAATCATTTTTGTCCTTTCCCCTTCTTATTAACAAGGTTTTATGTACTCAATATGCACTGATCCCATAGGCCTATATGCAAACAAGAACAGCAATGCAAAAATTGTCAAGTCGCAAATAATCAGCCAAAAAAAATGAACACAATGAGGCTAATCCAATCCCTTTCAAAACTAGGTGCCAAGAGAAGTTTGGACATGTTTCAGAAAATGGATTACCAAAGCTGTTTCTCTGAGGGTCATCCTGTCGTTTTGGTGCATTCTTAGGCAATGGCTGTATTTATATCTCAACAAGTAAAGCAGCCACAAACCCAAAGCAAAAGTGCAGATATGACAACAGATGGAACAATAAGAAGTAACCCGTGCAGGACACTGACACATAAAAAATAACGCATCTACCATTACTCACAGTAAACTGCAGAAAAAATTCTAACCCACTGTCATCAAATGGATACTGAAGATCTGTGTCAACTGTGATGGAAGTTCCAAGCAAACCTACCCATCCACACAACTTACCGATCAAAACGTGCCACAGCCCAAAAAACATTTTTTAAGCAGAAGACGGCTGCCAAGATGCCCAACTGCGCCGATCAACAGACACGAACAAGACATCCCGCAGTATCAGAACCACAGAATGCCTGCAATGTTCACTGCTGAGGTTTGAAGGGGGAGGGAAAATGTTGCTGGCTACAACAGATATCAAATACACTGGAAATATCTTCAATGGGCTGTAAACACTGTATACAATGCCAACGCAACAAACTTCCAACTCCCTTCTGCAAGAGATTCATCCACTTCAACTTGGTCTTCTCTTCTGATGAAAACAGACATAACAATAACAAGAAACTGACAACGATTAACCAAAATTATAAAAACAAAAAAACAACTCCTTTCACTTTTACATAAAACATTTTATTGATGATAGTGAATTAGGGATTACAATGAATTATCAACCCTTTTCTGCAGATGTGTATACACTAACGGCACCTATCTACTGCTAGTAGCACAATGAGCGAAAAGAAATCAATTACTGCAGTACAAAAACCCAGAACAGAAACCTTTTATTCTTACATCTCAAGAACAGAACACGATGACACACTAATCCAACCACTTGCTAAATGATATCCACAGTCGAATCAATGTAGACAACTTCTGAATGGTAACACAAACTGAATCCTTGTTGACAACTTCTGAATGTTAACACAAATGGAATCCATGTTGACAACTTTTGAACGTAACACAAATCCACGCTGACAACATTTGTATAGTATCCACAAAATCCAAATAAAGAACCTCGGACAAGAACTGTAGGATAACCTGTCCACATCACGCCGAATTAAAAAAATCTAGAAATTACCATTTGCTGCTGATGCAAACTGAACAGCCAGCACGTACATAAAGAGCAAAAAGGATGACACCACACTAGGAAACTGCTTATGCATATGCATTTTTTGTAATATATGTTCTAGTAGAAGAGACCAACATCAATTATGCGGCCTTCCAGGCGAGTACGATCCATCATGTCTGGAGAACATGTTAAGGAATCCTCACAATTTCTAAAACAGACAAACATCAATAGCACAGCTCTCCATATGAGAGTTATCCAACATGCCTAGAAGAACTGTTAAGGTCAGATTGCATGCATATTTCCACCATCACCGTCATCATTCAGCATTAGGCCTAATAAGGCCCATTATAGATATTAACAAAGCAGAGTCCTCCCATAATTCTTCTCAAACTCCTATTTCCTTTCCAAGACATGAAATTCACTAAGCATAACCTGAAGTTCCATCTTATAAAACATCATAAAAAGAAAAGTCATGCAGCAGCAAATCTGATACACTAAGATGCGATATTCAAGAAGAAAATCACACACACACACAAATAAGACCATATAACATGAGAGAAGTGATTCCCTACAAATAATGTTACATTTTCGAAACTCTTTCACCAAGATGGCTGCAACTGTCAAAAAGACATCAAACGCCTTGAAAGGATACGGACTGCACGTTCTGCATCCCAGTCACTGCTGAATCTCACAAGACCAATGTCTTTGCCTCGCATTTCAGCATATTTAACATCTCCACATTCCCGGAATTTATCCCGCAGCATCTGCCATGTTGCTGCAGGCGGTAGCTGCAACAAACACAAAGCAGTTATCAAGGTAATTTCTTGAAATTTATTCATAAGCTCCTACAGATACATGTTTTTCAGTTACAATATTTCCTTTTATTAGTTGTATAGTGGAATGCAAGAGTTAGGTCTGTTCGGAAACTGATAGTCTCATAAAATTGAAAGTAAGGCAATATAAATCTGAGATCATTTTGAAAACTGTACTCACATTTTTAACAATAACTGTGTCTGATATGCGACTGCCATTACCAGCACTAACTGCACCTAACGATCCACGTGCTGGACCATTAGCATAGGCAGAACCTCCACCTGTTCCCACTCTGTAGTCTCTTTCGGCTACACTAGAGCTGTAGCCTCCTGCACCTCCGCCTCCAAGTGCTGCACTCAGGGAATCAAAATCTCTGCCACTGCTGCCATATGCGGAGCCTGCAGCCAGGGCAGAGGTTGAACCACTGCCATACCCACCACCTCCAGCTCCAGCGCCATATGAGCTGGAGCCTCCAGCTCCAATCCCACTTCCATAAGAGCTGCTGCCACCTCCAAGACTTGCCAGACCAGAAGCAGCAGGACCAAGACCTGCTCCCAATCCTGAACCTCCAAATGCTCCAGCTCCTCCCAAACTCGCACCAAGTCCTATTTCACCACTCCCACCAAGGGTTGAGCCAATAAGGCTACCACCACCAAGACCACTTACTCCTGCTAAACCAGCCGGAAGGCCTGCTGTGCTGCCAAGACCTGTAAGAAGAGTAGTAAACCCAACAATGCTTGGGTTTATACTTCTCTACCATCCTCCCAGACACAAGAAACTTGAAACCAAAATCTGTTGTGTAACAATACCAGATTTTACCAGTGTTGAAATATCAGTTTATATTACTTGCAGCATCCATCAAGTAAATTCTATCTCCCATAAACGATCACAGAACATAGTGAAGCTGACAGAGGCTAATTTGCATTTCAATATGGGCTCCTAATCATGGTTTTCCCCAAATTCTTAAATCACTCCCATACCATACCGTTTGTTATTTTTTACTTTACCATTCATGGTACTTATCTCCAACTTCCCTCTAAATTTTTGTTTCTTATTCTCCATTTGCTGGGTTTTCGTTCTATAAAATCTGATATACTATGAAATTTCTCAGGAAGAAGTACAGAGTTCCCCCCCCCACCCAGTTCACAACTCTGCACTGCAAGGCAACTGGTGCACTGCTTGCCATAAGGCGCACACAGTTCATAAATGAAACAGAATGCCTGATGGCTGATAATGTTTGGAAAGAAGGGAAGTAATTAACTTGTGGACCATTTGACAGCATTGTGTTTCACTATGAGAAGTGCAGTTCATTCATGGGAATTTGTTCATGATTTGTCAGCAGCAGGCAGCAGTTTTCAGCTACATCAGCCATTTGTTCTCAGTTACAGTTAGTGAGCAGTGTTGTCTGTCATAGTGAGGCATACTTTAGAGCAACGTGTATTTCTGTATGTGAAATATATATTTACTAGAAAGTGTCAGCAAAAATTTCAACGTAACTTTAATGATGAAGGAGTTCCCAGCAGGCAAACAATTCAAAATTTGGCGAACAAACTTAGAAAAATGGGACTCTTAATAGACAAGAAACAAAAGCATAAGTCCCAAGTAGTTCCTGAGAAGTGAGATGACACAGGGGCCAGGCTTTAACATATACCTAGAAAATCACTGAATCGTCTAGGTGAAGAGACTGGTGTGTCAAAAAGTCTAGTGCATGTACAACAGCACAACTGCTGAAGCACAGACTGTATGAAACAATAGTAACACACACCTTGCAGCTGTGCAATCCAGCTAGCAGGATTCATTTTAGCAGTTGGTTTCTACAGTCTGTCGTCAGTGAGATCAATCTGCAACTGACAGTCTTTACTGCTGAAAAATGGTTTCACTTGCAGGCATACATAAATATGCAAAATAATCGCTACTGGGTTCACAGAATCCACGTCTAACACACAAAGTCCTGCTCCATCCAGTCAAACTTGGTGTTTGGTGTGTTGTTGAGTGCAAGGACTTTTGTACCTGTTTTTTTTTTTCAATGAAACAATTACAAAACATAACTGCGTGTAGAGGGACAGCATTTTCCAACACCTCCAGTGATCTGTGAATTTTTACTGTGGTCCAAATGATACTGGCCGTCAAGCATGCTGGTTCATCTGCAAAATTGGTATTGCTTAACAGCTGGTTGTGCACCAGTCAGGAACTGGTCAACAAAGTAAGAACCTGCAGATGCTTGGGCTGTTATTATTTGTGTTTCCATGGAACACTGCTGTGGTAAGCATTCCCCCCCCTCTCTCTCTCTCTAACATTTCATTATATTTTGTACCATGGACCCTACATCATTATGAGTTATCATGGAACCAGTCAAAAAAGTAAGAATCCTCCCTGCAGATGCTTCAACTGTTATTGCTTCCATGGAACACTGCTGTGGTATGCATTCCTCTCTCTAACATTTCATTACATTTTGTACCATGGACCATACATCATCATTATTTATGTGTGTAATTAAAATTAATATAGCAAACATCAAACTTTCATTTTCAGCAAAACCGTTTGTGGAAATGTTTTTAATCGTGAAGATGGGGAGGCACCATTTTCAGGCAGAAGGCTTGAAGAACGAAGCAAATGTTCCTCAGAGGTATTCCTACCTTTTTAACCTTTAACGTCCGAATGGCAAATATATAGGTCGCAAGCAGCAACCGGAGTTGGCCGAATGACCTGTATATATGCCGCAGGTCACATGCTCTCTTTGGGAGCACTGAGAGTTTGACCTCGGGTTTGAAACCAAAACAAACCTACATGAGGTCATGTCAGTGGTTCATTCCTTAGCTCTGAACAAAGAAATTGTTTATCACGGTACTGGTTTCGATACTATTTATGTTTAGATATGACTGTTTATGACCTGGTCAGTCAAATATAGGCCCGCATTGTTTCGAGAACTGATGAGGAAATATTTATCGGTGCTTGCATATGAGCATTTGCAGAGCCTTCCAGGAAGTCTGACGCATTCAAGGATTGGTTTGCAGTGGCGAATTATCAGTCAGGAAGTCAGTGTCGGATTGTCTAATATTTCTTTATCAGTTAGAAAGTCAGTGTCAGACGGTCATATATTTCTTTATATATCATTTTTATTTTGAGTCTTGGAAGAGGTATAAACACACTGAGCCAGTATTACTTTGTGAGTAAAAGGCATCTTCACCACTGCGACTATCAGTATGTGTCANAGAAGGCTTGAAGAACGAAGCAAATGTTCCTCAGAGGTATTCCTACCTTTTTAACCTTTAACGTCCGAATGGCACATATATAGGTCGCAAGCAGCAACCGGAGTTGGCCGAATGACCTGTATATATGCCGCAGGTCACATGCTCTCTTTGGGAGCACTGAGAGTTTGACCTCGGGTTTGAAACCAAAACAAACCTACATGAGGTCATGTCAGTGGTTCATTCCTTAGCTCTGAACAAAGAAATTGTTTATCACGGTACTGGTTTCGATACTATTTATGTTTAGATATGACTGTTTATGACCTGGTCAGTCAAATATAGGCCCNGTGTGACAACCATCTCCGCCTCTCTGTCATTCTCAAAATGCTGACGTTCACAGGAATTTCTTGAGGTGTAGGAAAAGATGGAAATCACTGGGAGCGAGGTCCAGGCTGTAGGGTGGATGATTAAACACCTCCCAGCTGAACTCTTGCAGGAGACTTGCTGACCGTCAAGCCATGTACGCCCTAGTGTTATCGTGCAGGAAGACAATACCGGCACTAAGCATCCCGCGCCGCTTGTTCTGAACGGCCCATCACAATTTCTGCAGTGTTTCACAGTAACGCTCAGCATTCACCGTCTCACCTCTGGTCAGGAAGTCGACATGGAGAACGCCGTCTGTCCCAGAATACCGTGCACATCACTTTCTGCGCCAACAACGTCTGCTTGAATTTCGTCTTACAGGGAGATCCACTGTGATGCCAATGCATTGACTGCTGCTTGGTTTCTGGGGTAATGTGTGCAATCGACGTTCCATCACCTGTCATGATCCGGTCCAGAAACTCATCGCCATCCTCATGGTACTGCTGCAGAAAGATGAATGCTGACTCCATGTGCTTTGTTTTGTATTCTGGTGTCAGTTGCTTCGGCACCCACCTGGCACACAATTTCCTGAACAACAGATGTTCCGTGACAATTTCGTGCAACAAGGAGCGGGAAATCTGCGGGACATAACTGCTGAGTTCCGCAATTGTGACGCGACAATTCTCCATAACGTGTTCCCGCACAAGCTCCACCAGGGCGTCTGTAATGATGGATGGCCGCCCACTGCGCTTCTAATCATGCACACTTTGTCAACCTGCTGAAAATTGTTTGCACCAGCGACGCACCATCTGCTTGCTCATGACGTTAGGCCCATAGACCCGGCACAGCTGACGATGAATTTCGATAGGCGCTATGCCCTGTGCATTCAAAAACTTTATCACTGACTGCACTTCACAGTCGGCGGGAGTGGGAATAAGAGCCTCCATCTTCAACAGCTGCAACGATGCTACTGTGGGAACGCAGATCCCGTTTGTGCATGCACCATACTACGTCATTGCTCTATCACATACGTGCAGTCGCTTCGCGCAATATAAGGTTTGCTAGCTGTGGGATGAGTGGGAAACTTACTTTGAGGACATGCTACGTACCAACAGGTGAGAGTGTCGCTTTGTCAATCAACATAATTTATTCGATTTTGCTGGAAACCTCCCTCCCCAAAGATGATTCTTCAATTGCACAAACCGAATATCATGGTCAGTGGCGTTTCTCGGGGGAAGGCCAAAGTTATCAGGGGGCCCAACTGAGTTGACTGGAGGTGAAACATTCACAACACTGACCAACCAAAGGGAAACAAAGATGTTGTCGTGTGTTTCACTAAATAAGCAAAGCAGGAGCACGCTCTTCTATTGCAAAAAGTGTGATTTTGCTCTGTGTGGACTGCTTCGAGAAGTGCCACACGTGTCAGTGTGACTATCATAGTGAAGTGACTGTGAAGTGACATAGTTCAAACTCGCATACAGTAATATTATTGTATATACAGTGATTATAATTACAATATCACCAAGTCTCAAAGCTGAATATCACGGTCAGTGGCGTTTCTCGGGTGAGGCCAAAGTTACCTGGGGCCCAACTGAGTCGACTGGAAGTGAAACATTCACAACACTGGCCAACCAAAGGGAAACAAGACGTTGTATTTGTTCTCAAAATAAGTAGCGCAGAAGCACGCTCTACTACTGTAAAAAGTGTGATGTTGCGCTGTGTGTGTTCGGCTACTTCGAGATGTGGGTTGCGCTATGCGTGTTGGGCTGCTTCGAGAAGTAGTACACGCACATCAGAGTGAGAGTTATCGTAAACTGTGAAGTGACGCAGTTCAAACTCGCGTACAGTCTGAACAAATTATTGTATATAGTGTAATTATATTTACAATATCACCATGATTCAAGTTGAAGAAAAAACAACAGGTAAGTCCTTTCGAATTTCATAACATATATAATAAAGATTATATTTTGCAATTCATGACAAAACATTCACAGTTAATTTTCGTTTGTAAAAATTGCTCTTCTGTGTACATGTAGAAAATTTTGTCTTTCAGGTTGTTTTTAGTTTTTATTTCTATGTTGCATAGAATGGAAAATACGGATTTTTTGCTGACGGTTTGCAATGTTAATTAATCAGGGTGATTCAAATATCGGCCGCAGAGGGCTCCCAGCAATTTAAAAGTCCGTATGTTAAAGGTTAACAAAGCACATGATGTCATATTCCAAGAGACAGAAAAATTGAAGCACATCAATAATCTCACACTAACACGGTCATTCCGTCAGTGTGGAGCTGCAAAAATAAATGTCACCTCAGCATAAAGAGTGTATAAAAGTCTGAAACTGAAATGAAGAACCGTACAAATAGATACATTTCCTGGGACTTCTCTCCAACCACCACCAAAATAAGACAGTACAACAGACATTGTATTGGCATTAGTATGCCAATAAGCCCAAAATGAATGTCCCCTGCCTCCTCCCAAAATCGATAATTTCATTTTATTACATATCTCACGAAGGGTGAAAATTAATCTTACCTAATGTGGAGGGACCGACAACATTCGACAATGCTGCTGCACCTATAAAAATAACATAACATAGTAAACAATCTACTCTTTACATAAGTTCATTAATATACATTCCACCTTACGTTAAAGAATCAGGCACTTCTGTTCCTTAGAACAAGTAGCAACTGCATATCATTAACCTTCACTATCCATGGGTGGAACTACCGATGCAGCATGTGCAGATTCAGCAGGTCAAGCACTGCATTTTCAATAAAAATACCATTACCTTAAAGTTAACATTCAGCCACCAGAACTGTAGCAGCAAATCTACATCCCCTACTCTGGACTAACTGAACAGATTTTTAGTGGAGATGAGGATTTTCTTTGAGACACGAACCAAATTCTTATAGGCTTCAAGTAACGTTCAAAACAGCCAGTTCTTACAAAATTCTGCCTTCAGATGGCACGAGAAACTACATTTTGCAATATGAACACACCTTCAAGGTTTAAGGCCTTCATTACACTGATGAAGGCACTACTGTGTGTTGGACTGCCACAAAACAAAAATTCCTATCATGAAAAATACTTCACATAATGAAATATCTCCAGTTACATAATTTTACCTCCAATGAACACTGAAAAACTAGGAAATTTTTCAAGAACTGAGAGCGATAAAAGAAACACAATCTTATCTAGGGATCTTCCATAAAATTCTACTAGCAGCAGCTCATTTTTCTATTATGCAAAACAAATATTCGCTGATACGTGTAATGTGCAACAGCCACATTCTGCTGCAATACTTTGGCAGTGTTGTTCGAAAACACATGACAAGCTCTGATCTTCAGACACATGAAAATGTTTTTGATTCCTGATTCATTCATTCCTTATAATGGTAATCATCCATATGAACTTCTACACCCAGGTTATTCACTTTCTGGACTTGTCTATCATCTAATACTTTACAAGAATACATTTTAGAAATTTAATGTTTCTATCCTTGGGTGAAAGCATAGAAAGGCACCCACACAGCTGTATTAGACAGTCTCAATCACTGAACAACACAGGCTAAGTATAACTCAATGTATTCTTTCAAAATATGAGATGACGGACTATGTAATCCCAAGCACAGTATACCACTGTCTGAATCCTTTAGAGCTGAATCTTCTTCCTGGTTATTCCCAGGGAAGGCTCAGATTTTCCTTACATGAATATCTGCTTCAACTGGATAATTTCTAGAGAAAGGATAAGTAATGTGAGTTACCTAGCCCAGCACCCAATCCTGCTGCTGCTCCACCAGGTACAGCCCCAGTCAGACCAGTTGCTGCCTGTGCACATGGCAGGTTTCCTAAATACAAAACCAAATTTTCATTCACACTAGCAGTTCAATTAGTCACAGGGCATATTTACTGCGACTACAAACATGAACTGCATGTAAAAATACAACAAATAAGAGTATGGTCTTCCGAGTTGTAATACCATGTAGTTTGAACAGAACCCATCATTTCAAAGGAACACAAGTGTGACATGACAGATGAAAGCCAGAACAGAAGAGCCAGAAAAAGACATCCATTGCTAGGCAACGGCAGAGTAAACATGCTTCCGCAGGAACGAATAACCATGCAACAACAGAGAAATTGTTCAAACCATGTTTTCTATGCGGTCCATGTCTAGGCTACATAAGGAGATACAACAGGAGTTTTTAGTCAGTTGAGAACACACGTTAGTTGCAGTTGGGAGTCAGCAGTTGGTTGTGAGCACAGAAACAAGGACTATCCACTGTTGGAAGCTGCAACCAAGCAATGCCTAGCAAAGACTACAACAAACTGAGGAGACTAGTGTGTGTTATTGAGATTTTTACAGTGTAGTAATGAGTTAAAAGTATCTAATAAGTCCAAAGTCAATAGAAACCCCCTGTCTATTCACTAACACATAACCATAATGTTTTCATCTCTGTCAATGGGTGAGCCAAGAAAGAATCGGGTGGCAACCTGAGCTCAGCCTGCTGCCTGCTTCTTACTTAGTTTACTCTTTGACCCTGAAGATGGAGACAACATGCTCCTCTCAAATGTTGGGCTCTCTCCAAACTGCATGGTCTTATAACTCAGAACTCTTCACAGTTACCACTGTGAGAACAACAGATCCAACTAAAGTATAACAGTTTCTTATTATAGAAGAAGAGAAATATTAATTACAATGACCAAACAAAATGTGAAAGACATTTCCTTTGACATGTTGACTGAAGAAAACATCCACTCCTTGGTTAACAGTTCAATAAACATGTATCTGCTACAACAGATACAGGCATACAAAGACAGAGGAATCTACAATGCACATACAAAAACAGAGTAGCCAAGGAAATGACATTCTCTATGTGATCCATGCTGAGGCTATATAACTAGGACCCCAACACTTTGCAGTTAAGGACCAGCTGTGGGATGGCAAAGGGACAGCAGTGACATGAGAATGGAAGCAGTAGTAGTCACTGCTGGGAGCTGCTACCAAGAAAACGGCATGTGAAGACAGCAAACTGGGAAGCCTTGGAATATGTCACAGTGTTTTGTTAAGCACTCAGATTAGAAATACTGATACAATTATTCACAGTTACAAGTTATAATTGCCCAATAAATCCAATTACCAATCCAAACCCCATGTCTACTAAGTAACATGTGACAATATATACATATATATTACTGCAGATACAAAGGGGGATACTCACGTGAAACATCCTGAAGAGGATTTCCTCCAGCTCCAAGCCCCATTCCCAAACCTCGTAATCCTTCAGGTAATTTTGGTGGCCCTTCAGGTTTGTGGTCTACTCTGTCCATCCGGACAGTTAACTTTCGATCATACAATGTCTGATTATGTAACATGGCTAAACAAGAGTCAAGGAAATTTATACTATGCTTACATGGGTTATACATTCACAGCTACAACAGGATTTCATATGTTCCTCACAAGCAATGTTAACTATTTGGACTGTTAAAGTAAATTAACACACATGACAAACTCCATGATCAATATTCACAATTTACAGATTGGCTGTGCGTTCATTTTAACTAATTTTTGCACAGTTCTTGTGGTATAAATTTCACATTCATTGACAACTGCTTTAATCTTTCGCAGTTTAGAGCTCTGAGCTCAAATAACCTGGGATCATAGGGAACTTGTCTCACAGATCATGACCATTCTGAAGTTTATTTCTACTGGTTTGACATAAATACCATGATCATGGACCTCATATCTGAAAGTACATAATCAAATCTAATTACTATAAAGGATACAGATGGCTTGCACAGCTTCAACAGGATGCTCATATTCAACAACACCAAAACCTCGACTTTTTCCTTCTTTGTCAAGGCTTAATTCAGCAGAGACAACTTTTCCTGCAAGCCTGAACACCTCTTTAAGTTTCTTCTCATCAACCTTATAATCCAACTGAAAAGAGGGGGGAAAAAAGTGGGCCTTTAACAACACATATAAGAATGAATCTTATGGTTTCATAATGCCCCTCTCTCTCCCACAAATACGTGTGTGCATTTCAAAGAATGTCAGCTGGGTCAGTCCCAATTCTCATATGATATCACAAGCTTCTCCAGTGCTCTTGTTACACAGCTGGAATTATGCATCTTCATCAGCTGGTGTCTGTACAGTCCGTGGGTGACCAGCAAACACATGTGCCATAGGTACTTACTGTCTCAGAGACACTGCTTCAATCATTAAAAAGATATTAGCACCCAGATGATGCTAAGTGCATGTCGCAGTTCTCATGTACATATTCCACGATCATTCAATCACAACTGAACCCTCCTGTATACTGTACATCCTGAATATACCTAACAATGCGCTGTGTATCATGACAAGACTGCTGAGTACAAGGGTGATTCAAGGTTGACCTGGACTTATTTTTTTTACAAGGACAATATACATGCCAGACTAGCCAAACTCTCGCTCTTTTTCAAGATGAACTCCCTTTACCCTTACGCATTTTTTCCATCATACTGGCAAGTAACTGATGCCTGCAGTGTAAGAGCATTTATTCTGACTGCATAGCCAGTTCAAGGCACCATCTTCGAATTCGTCAGTTTGAAATTTACCCTCCTATACGCACCTTCACTGGTGCAGAGAAGTGAAAATCACTTAGGGCTAAGTCTGGTCTTTAAGGAGGGTGGCTCAAGATTTCCAGGCCCAATACTGCCAATGCTGTCTTCATCAAATCTGCTTATGACAAGCACTGTCAGGCAGTAGGAGGTATACAGTTTCTTAGACCTTTTCTTAAAATGACTTGATAAGCATCACTGTGAAATTACTGTAATACTCTTCAATAGTTATTACAGCATGTTGAAGAAAATAAATATGAATCAATACCTTAACGTCCATGTATTTACCATCTACCAATATTGCAACACTTATTTATTCACTACTCAATTTTTGTCTAACATTTTACACTTTGATACAACATGTTTCAGCCCCATGCTGTGGAGGAAACATGCAAACCAGGGGTATATTGCAGACATAACTGAAATGTAGGCTATGAACGTGAAGGGCAAGCTGCTGGGACAAAACACCTGGGACAGACATACATTTATGAACAATGGATAACACCGTGTGAGGTGAAACAGAATGCACCAAAATAAAGTGGGTTTAATAGAAATTTTAACAGATTTTACATGTATCTTGTTTTTACCTTGAAAAGAGAACTACAGCGTGTGATTTTGACACGGACTAACACAGTGTAGCAGTTTTAACATAATTTAATAAAATATTTGTAACATATCAAGACACCTGAAGATGGTCGTTTGGGGCCGAAACATGTCGTCTCAAATTGCAAAATGTTAAAACTAAAATTAAGATTAAGTAGTGAAAAAGAAGTGTTCCAATATTGACAGATGATAAATACATTGACGTTAAGTTCAAAAAATTGCAACAGGATGCTGGAAAGTATGTTAACATTTTTACCTGCCTTTTAACAAGCAATCATACTACTGACAGCTTGTGTGCATTCTGTTTCATGTTGTATACATGCATGAACACAAGTAAAATGTAATTACAAGATAACCCTGAGGGAACAGCTATACTGAAGTTTGCTGGAAAGCTACATGGCAGGCAACTTTCCAATCTTGCACTGAAAGCCCACATTTTCTCTAGACATTTGGTTCACAGATGTCGGTAAGATTGTCAGCCTTACGTGCTGGCTGCCATTTACCCCCAGGAAGATTCCTGGAACTCATTTCTGTTAGAGGCTGAGTCCACCCAAGGGCCATAGTGCAGCTGGAAGAATTAGGTCAATTGAAAAACAAAAATTCCAGTTTGTAGCACTACTACACTACCATGTGCCCCGATCTCCAGACATAGCCCAACAAAATACATGACTACATCTCTGATAGTTTCCACGAGAATAACAAGCGTGTGTGCAGACATTGCATTGACAGAACCCACAGTTGTCTATAGTAACCATATTCATACGCATAGTTATGTTCAAAAACAAAGTAGAGAAATTTGTTATATAACTTACATTTGCAACAAAAACTCTTGTCACAAGAGGACCATTTATCCACAAAGATTCAAGAAATTGTGGACTGAGACCGTAAGTGTTTCCCCACTTTTGTCCAGAACTACCAACAGCAGCACTCAATGCTGGAGCAAGTGATGGAGTGGGATCCCATTTGCCTCTGGGTTCATCTCTAATTCTGCCACCACCACCACCTCCACTGCCAACACCACCCCCACCACCACCACTGCTGCTTCCAACACCGCCACCTCCTCCTCCACCACCACTCTTCTGTTGCCGGCCATATCTGTCACGCTCTATGTCAAAATCCTAAAAAGAAAAGAACAAGTATTCCCAAACTGACACAATTGGGATTCATTATCCTTATACAACTTTAATCACCATTACTGCAAAGCTATACAGAATCATTCTTCAGTATGATTTGTACTGATGCACATTTGCTTACTTCCTTCACAACCAGTTTCCTCCCTTTGAGGTCATAGCGATGCATTTTCTCCACAGCTTTTTTGACTGAATCTGCAGATTCAAACTCTACAATCCCACATCCTCTTGGTTTATCATTTTCATCATGAAATAGTTCCACATATGCAACTTCACCAACTGGTAAGAGGAAAAAATCATTACACATTTTAACTAAAAATTTAACTACTTTCAGCATACCAGGTTTATTTCATCATATTTAATGACTCATACTTTAACAATACATTCGTACTCAGCTTTTTGCATCTTAAAACTGTCTCAAACCATAACATTTTATAACCATAAGAGAACTGGAACCAATATTACATCAAAATATGAAACAGACCAAAGAAAAACAAACCTTCTGTTCTGAATAGATCTTTTAGCTCTTGCCAGCGGAATTCATATGCGATATTTGAAACAAAGATACGTCTATCTGCTGAACTTTTCTTTCCACCACGATCACGTTCCCGATCTCGTTCACGCTCTCGCGAAGGACTTGAACTTCTTGGCCCAAAACGACTTGGCCTATCACCTCTACGGGAGCGGTCACGTTCCCTATCTCGACTACGATCTTTAGCACCACCACTCAAGTTAGAATCTTCATCATTTCTGTCATCACTGGGGTTTAAGGGTGATCTGTAAAACATCAGCAAATAAGAGGTAACATCTCATACAAGGGTATTCACTAGAAAACCAAGGTGACCAACAGTACATTTCCAGTCCCCTAGGATGGGCTGCAATAAATAGTGAAATTTTAATGTAAGAGAAACTACAAAATTTAAAGTATAAACAAAACTTACATTAATAGTTTAAATATTTTATTCGAGTGTTTTATTAAATATCATTATGTGGTAAAACTGCTCATAATAGAAACCAAATATAACAAGCACTTATTATGCAGTAGAACTCTCATCACCAAACAAAGCTAATTAACCCAACATTTATTGCACAAACAGGGCTTGCCCCATTTCATACAAAATTAACTGTTATACATGGACGGTCTAAATTTTCTGAGTTTTTCAAAATATTTTGAATTAGTCTTTAGGGTTGTGTGGTAGAGGGGTATCAAAATTTCAGATGAACCTGATACCTCTACCTTTGCTCTTCATCTCTGCAGATATGGACAGCTGGTTTATCTGAAATATCTGTGCCCATTTAACCTACAAGGTATCACATCCCAGAGGAGCATATTCTTAACATTCACTGCTGTGAGAAACTCAAATCTCACAAAATATTATGTCCGCTAGCCACTCATCCAGATTCACAGATCTGTGCATGAACCTAGTCCAGTGTTTGTGCTTCACATACTTCATCTTACTGAAACTTACCTTGCAGAGCATGCTGATCCAAACGTGACCTAATTTTATGCCACAAAACTGTATGGAAGGGTTTCACTGATTACAACAGCATTTTCTGGTATACACTACTTAATGGTCCCTTTCTCCTTAAATAACAAAGGATGAAACGGCAATGACAGCTCCTAGATATGAATTCTAGTCAAGATCGAACAAAATTTTATTGAATGGAATTACAAGCCTCATTTCCAAGGCCAAGCAGAAGTAACAGGTAAATTGCATGTGGCCCACATACCATCACTGACCTATGACATTTCTGCATATGTTTAAAACATGTATCGAACAAAATCAATATTCACATTACCTACAAAAATTAACAAATTTCATGATGAAACCTACTTTTATTTTTTTATTTGTAAACAGTTTGTATGATTTCCTTCAAGTCACCCCCTGGGAAGTTAAAACTATATACAAAGATCAGTTGGCTGATTCCATGTTCTGTGAAATATGAACTGCTGCTAGGAAATCTGAGGGTGACCATATCTGACGTATATTTCTTGAAAGGAGAAATACCATTCAGTTTCCCTTCAGCTAACCTATGTCTGTTATTAACAGGGAAATTAGTATAAACTATAAATGAAAAATCAGAAGCAACCTTCAGAAAATGTACTCATCCTCCATCAGTAATCCACACCCCTATTCATAATTTTTATTAATGTGTCGCATACCTCTCTATTATGATTCTGTCCTGCCATGTAGTTATGAGACAATATGCACTTATGTTTGCTTTGCATTTACTTCCAGACTAATCTCACATTAGTTTAAAATATACTTTCTGTTTATCTTTGTTATTTACATTTTCTCCCAAAAGATTAACATGAACATAGGCCAGAAGCCAATGTATGCCATTAAATTCCAACAGACCTTCTTGACAGGCAGATTCTGAACCAAAGTTGAACAGCTAGGGCTGCAAAGCATTTACCCGTTTCAGATCATCCTGAACAGGAAAATCATAACACAAATATTTATATACAGAAATGTTACTGATTTTTGTTTAGCTAAATTTAATGGCCCAACTAGTCTCTTCAGTATAATGAATTCAGGTGATAATGGCCCCTTTCATCGTTTCTTCTAAAATCTCCTTCATAAAAATTCTTGTATCATGATATACACACTGTACCACTCCCAGCTTATGACTCTGTATACCTCTATTTAACATCACTTTCCATAATCTTCATGGAATGCATCCTATTGCATGAACAAACCAATCAACTATCGTGTTCCGTCCGTGTTGCGTTAGACGGACTATGAATGTTGACTGATTACTTTCCACAATTTATTACAGAGAACAGAATCAAACATTCTTGAAATGTAGAAAAAACAGGTGTTACACTCATACACTGCATGTACAAATATTACAATATATTAATTTAAAAATGAGATACTGCGCCAGGAAATTTCAATGTATGAATCTACAAATATCATGGTGTGTATACATAATGAATGTTACATAAATGTTAACATATACATATTACTAATGTTGTACTTCTAGGTCATATTGTGAACAACTTTTCGTTCCGTCACCACATACACATACGTCACGCTATGCTACTTCTATCTGTCCAGACTAAACTGTTCATTTTGTGCACTGTAAATATTCTGCAATACAACTACCTTCCATGCAACCACGTTTAATTTGTGATGGCGCCGGCGCCATGTCTCCTAGTTACACGCTGAATAAGCTCAAACAATAATTATGCTAATTGTTTCAACAAGAAACATGTTTTATAAGTTCCTGACACGTATATGGATCGATCTGCGTCTTCTGCATAAAATTACTTACATTTATAAGTTTCTTTTCTTCATTATACCGAGCCGATCACCCAGGCATATTGTGCCGCATACAAAGACGCCGACGCCATTTCACACCACATACTTGGATGTAAATAAAATAAATTCCCATTTACCTGTCTCTCGCCCTGCTCTCGGTTGAATTGTTCCCTTCACTTTTTATCATCTTGAAGTTTAAAAAAGGACACAATATCCTAGAGTAAGAATAATTCAGCAAATATGCTAGAAGCTGTGTCCCTTACACAAAACGCTAACACACGTCACCACACACATGCACACACGATAGCCAAAATGACGAAATAAATATTCCCGCTCTACAGAACCAGTCAGTGTACGCTACAAGTTACAATTTGAGTGGGGGCTGACCGAGGAAACTGGCAACCTCAACGCAACCGCAGTTTCAGAGAATTGTTATTAGCCTAAGTTGAACACATGGAGTATCGCAATTTGAGGAAACGGCAACGATGCTCTTAGTAAGACTGAAAACTCAACTTCCAGGCAACGGAGCATGCCAGGCTGCTCACGATTGCGTAGTCGCGTGGTTTGCTAGTGTCAATTTGAGTGGGGGCTGACCGAGGAAACTGGCAACCTCAACGCAACCGCAGTTTCAGAGAATTGTTATTAGCCTAAGTTGAACACATGGAGCATCGCTAATTGAGGAAACGGCAACGATACTCTTAGTAAGACTGAAAACTCAATTTCCAGGCAACGGAGCATGCCAGTCTGCTCACAATTGCGTAGTCGCGTGGTTTGCTAGTGTCAGGTGTTCTATAACGCGCTTCGAAAACTAATTTGTTTCTTACGATGGCACGAAATGTTTACGAAGCTGATAATTTTGTTTTTGTACAGTTAATTGAGCAAGAGCCTGGTATATATGACGAACGCCACCCAGACTATGCTAGACCGGACAAAATAGATTTGGCTTGGGGAAAGACTTTCTCATGAGACGAAGAAGTCTGGATAATCTGGTTCCAGGTTAAGTTCTTTCGAAATAATAAAAGCACCTCCGTTTAAATTGTCACAGAAGAACGAATGCACCCAATGTTTTCTTTTTCTAATATTGTATTTAAGCATTTTTGTTGCATTGATATATCTTTATTTCACATATATTGCAACCTATTATATAGTCCCCCTTCTACCACATTACATGGTTCGGCTCTACATGGCCATCATGAGGCGTCTTCTACCTTGCTTAAATTATACTGTATGTCAACATTTCGTCTCGCGTGTGTACTTGGTTTTCCCTGATAAAATAAATTAAGCAGCGTCTCAACAGTTTCCTTACGGTCGTCGTCCTCTCTTCTCAAGCCGTCTCAACCGGCCGACAGGGTCAGTACTATTATCTTCCACTGCATAAGGTAATTGTACGAAATTAGGAAATGCATTCATGCATTACGTCGGAAGAACATAACCACTTAAACTGATGTCGGCAACTAAAAAACAAACATAACTTTCCTCAGTGTGCGCCTACTAGGAAGCCAGTTGCCTGCTTGAAATCGGCGAAATTTCTCGGATAATGCGGTTGCCAGTTTCCTAGATGTGTCCTCGCCCTAAATTTACCTATAAAGGGATTGATGATAGGAATTCAGCCGGATGTATTTAATAGTTTCCGGCTTCCACTCTATTATTGTAGTCCAACTTTATCTAAATGCTTTCGGCGCCATTTTAGGTCAAGAACACAACACAACCACTCCAATTTCATGTTTTAATTTAAAAAACATAATATTCACATATATTATGCTAGGAAATGTACAAAAGTTTCTGTGCATTTATTTACAAGAAATATGTGTACAAGATTAAGAAATCCTTGTAAACTATTTTAAACTATAATCCCACAAAACAAAGATTTTACAAGGATTATTGGTGGTTAAAGCCAATGAGATGCAATTTACTGTGTGGGCAGTAAGACACAGTACAATCATTCAAAACAAACACAACATAATATATTACAAACGTACATACATACACACACAACATTCTTATCCATTCAAATTCCCAATGTGGGATGCCATTTACAACAAACATATGGATTCAAAACATGAACTGGGAATACCAGTTAATATTATTCCAAAATCCATATTCTTTTAGTGTATGAAAGAGTTCCTCTTAAAATACCGCAGCTATGTAATATCTTCTTAACAACGAACAACTATTACTCAAAAATCAAGTTCCTATTAAAGTAACAGAATATGATGGATAACTTGACCACTTTGCATTTCAGCAATGTAATTTGCTTAACTCTGAAATTACTTTCAAAACTTTCCTCCAATTTCCAAAATTATAGTAATCTGATTATGTTTCTTGTGACGTGTTTCACTGAAGAATGTATAAAAAGCTCGTGGTATAAAATGTGGCAAAGACGGTGCCAACATATCCCCAATGTATATTGCCACAATTCACACTGATGGTGGGTCAATCACTGTCTGAGCCAACAGGATTCACCTTTTTCCTCTTCTTTGAATGTCTGGGTTTCACTATTTCTTCTTCCTGAAATGTATAAAACAGAACTCAAATTACAACCTTTCCAATGCCTTAAAATAGTGTGTACCACTGAGCTATATATACCATGTTCCTCTGAAATGTTTGTATCTGTCCACAAGCTACAATGTACCATACCCCCAGACGACCACTGGACTCTACTGGAGTGTGGACCCTTGGAAAATGCACAATTTAATATTTCAATGCTCTTATGATATAAATGAACTGTGATAGTCTTTATATCTGTCTTCTTGTTTGGATTACAGTGAGTAACTAAGAAAGACACCCACATAACTGTCAGTGGGAATACTGAAAGTATGAATTAACACTTGGTACCACTGAAAAGCAGGTTTGATAACTCTAGAGGTACCAGTGTAAGTTTGAGAAATGACACCCTAACCAATCTTAATCTTCTAGATTTTAACATAATTAAGATGAAGTCTTAATTTCAAAATCACTTGGTCCCTTTACTTCTGGCCGTTCTCCTTACACCTTCTGTACTTTAATACCAGGACAAAGAAATACTTAGCTTACTGCAGTTCTCAGTAAATATATTCCTTTAAGATCTAAAAGTTTGTGATGATGGTAAATTGTTACAATTAATATTTTGCTGGACATTATCCATTATCTTGTCTATTCTAAAAAACAGTCTAATTTCTATTAAAAACACAACGTTTCGGGAACTGGATTCTGTCCCCGTCTTCAGGTAAAACCTACTCAGTTGGCTCCAATAGACAGAGCTAGCCCCTATCTCCGGACATATATGCCAATTTCCGAAGGGATTCATAAAAGAAGCACAACTTAATCCATCTGTGGGAGTTAAGATATGTTGAAGCTATCATAATTTGAGGCTTAGCACCAGAGAAAGAAATCATACCGGGAGAGAAGCAATACTCCTTGTGGTATACAAGCACAACAAAATCATCTGTGGGAGCTAAGAAATATTGAAGATATCATAATTTGAGGCTTAGCACCAGAGAAATATCGTGAATGAAATCATACCGGAAGAGAAGCAATACTCCTTGTGGTACCAACATATGAAACAAAGAGTTACCCAAACCAACTACACTTGACGTCGCTGTAGTCTCTTGATTTCTGCTGTAATGACAGGGGCCCAGATGGGAGAGATATCCATACTGGGTTGACTGATAGGATGGTCCAGCAGAGACATGTGGGCTGATTCCTTGTATCTTCTATATGTGGTGTTGGGTTCGATCTGCAAAACCTTCGCTTCATTCCAAAGAATTTTGTGATCTTCCTCGTATGCATGTTGGGCCAATTTAGACTTTTCCAGCAAACCCTGTGTCATATTATATTTGTGTTCCTTAATGCGTACTTCTAGGGGTCTGCTAGTTTCACCGATGTAACATCTGCCGCAGTCGCAAGGGATGCTATACACACACTGCTTCGTTTTCTGGGCATCTCTACTGGGTCCAGTTTTCATTAATGTCCCCCGGAGTGTATGTTTCGTTTTGAAGATTGTTCTAAGCTGAAAACGATTCCCGATGCGTCTGAATTTCTCGGCGATACCCTTGACATACGGAATGATTACAGTGCCTCGGTATGTTGTGTCTGAAGAGGGACGATTTCTTGTCGATGGCTTCAATACAGAGTCCACGAATTCTTTAGGATATTCACTGAGCATTAGATCATGTCTTATGTTTCTGATTTCTTTACTAAAATCCTTCTTGTTTTGACATATGACCTTCGCTCTGTTGATCAAACTATGAACAACTCCCCTTTTTACGTGGTGTGGGTGATTGGACTTGAAGTGAAGATAACGACCAGTATGAGTAGGCTTTCGGTACACTTTGGTGGTCAGTTTTGGACCCTGCTTCATAACCAAAACATCCAAGAATGGAAGTGCATTGTTGACTTCAACTTCCATAGTGAATTTGATGGTAGGCCTGATGTTGTTAATATGTTGAAGAAATTTCTGTAGCTCTTCCGGTCCATATGGCCATATCACAAACGTGTCGTCGACATATCTCAGCCATTTTGCAGGCTTGTATTCAGCTGTGTCTATTGCTATTTCTTCGAAATGCTCCATGAAATGCTCGAAATGCTCAGTAATATATTCATGGATCCAGTTCCCGAAACGTTGTGTTTTTAATAGAAATTAGACTGTTTTTTAGAATAGACAAGATGATGGATAATGTCCAGCAAAATATTAATTGTAACAAATATATTCCTTGTTTTATACTTCAATTGCGTCGTACACATGTCTACTGTCTGTACATTTTACACACACACACACACAATTCTGGGTACTGGATCTAAATCTATCTTCAGGGGACTAATGGTCTTTCTCTAAAATATCTGTGACAGTACATCTTACTTTGAGTAGGGAATCTCACAGCAGAAAAGTCCTGTGTGTTCAATAAGATCTCTGATATGGGGACTTTGGTTACCAACATAGTATGAAAATAGAATCTAGTAACTTTCTAATGATGGCATGATGATCTATGTCACCATCTGATGATGATGCACCCTCAAAGATATTTTAGACCCACAACAGCCATTGTTATCTATCTAATTAATTAATTAATTCGCTTAGTGGGGGGTGGAGTCCAACTGGGTCCACTCGGCACGGCAGCCAGTCATTGATCTATTGTAGCCTGCCCCAGGTAGTTATGATGATGGAGAATTTGGTGGAATGAATATTGGCAAGGGAACCCGAAGTACTTGGAGAAAACCCACCCCAGTGCCACTGTGTCCACCACAAATCCCACTTGACCAAATCCGGGATCGAACCCGGGTCGCCGTGATGGGAAGCCGCCGTGCTGAGTGAATTCCAACCGCCACTAAGTGAATTTAAAAAAAAAAATAACTTTGGAATACTGAATGCTATACACACAATAAGAATCAAAACCTGCAGCATTATTCCCACTCTCAAAACTATCTGCATTAACTTCCCGAGTTTTTCTTTAAAAGGCATACCCTTTTGAATTGAATTGAATTTATTTACATTCTATAAATCCTAAGCAGGTTAGTACCTTTGGATACAGAACAAGTCAAAAGGTTACATACATAAGTACAGGCAATTTTAGCTTAACAATTAATATAACTTAATTTTACATCATTCTCTATTTACATTGAAGTATTCATCTAAAGAGTAGAAGGAATGAGCATGTAGATAATTCTTTAACTCTGATTTAAACTTTTTAGTATCATTGCCCAAGTTTTTAATACTTTGTGGCAGATTGTTGAACACTTTTATGCCAGTAAAGTAGACTCCTTTTTGATATACTGATAAAGTTGATGAGGGTAGGTGGAAGTTGTATTTTTGTCTAGTATTCATGTTATAGACATCAGAATTTAATTTGAATTTATCTTTGTTGTAAACAACAAATAAGAGAAGCGATAATATGTATTGCGATTGAAGAGGTAGAATTTTTAATTTCTTAAATAATTCTCTACATGAATCTCTACTTCTACATCCTGTAATGATTCTAATTATATTCTTTTGTATTTTAAAAATTATTACACTATGTGAAGAGTTCCCCCAAAATATTAATCCATAGTTCATAATAGAATGAAAGTAGGCATGGTAAACCATCTTCAATGTTTCCTGTGACATAAAAGGCTTAATTGATCTCATCGCATAGCAAGCTGCATTTAATTTAGGTATAATTTGTTCAATATGTATTTTCCAAGACAGTGTACTGTCTACATGTATTCCAAGGAATTTTGTATCAAGTACTTTACAGATTAATTTGTTGGCATAACTGATGTCCAGATCAATTTGGTGGTTGTTTTTAGTTGTGAATGATATGTAATGGGTTTTATCAAAATTTAATGAGAGTAAATTGGCTTCGAACCATCTGTTTAAGGCTTCAAATACAATATTTATGTCATTTTTAAAGTTTTCAAATTTAGAGTTCTTAAATATTATACTAGTGTCATCTGCATATAGAATTGGTTTAGATTTATTGTTGATGGTTTTAGATAGATCATTTATGTAGAGAAGAAAAAGTAAGGGACCTAAAATTGATCCTTGTGGAACACCGTGCTTTATAATTCCCCAGTTTGAAAATGCATTATGACTGGAGTTTTTATTATTTATTTCAACTCTTTGATACCTGTTTTTGAGGTATGATTTGATCCATTCATTAGCTTTGCCAGTTATTCCATAGAAATTTAATTTCGATAGTAAGATATCATGATTAACACAATCGAAAGCTTTTGCTAGATCACAGAAAATCCCTCCCACAATTAATCTGTCATTGAGAGCACTTAAAATATCGTTAGTTAGTTCATAGGTTGCTTTTTCTGTTGTTAGGTCTTTCCTAAATCCAAATTGCTCTTTGACTAATATGTTGTTAGAATTTAAGTGTTCAAGTAGTCTATTATACATAACTTTTTCAAAGACTTTTGAGAATGAAGTCAATATGGATATTGGTCTGTAATTAGAGATGCATTTTCTCTCTCCTTTTTTAAAAAGTGGTTTCATTACAGCGTATTTTAAGCGTTGAGGAAAAGTACCTGATGATAAAGATTTATTACATAGATGATTCAAGGGTGAACTGATGTAAACAGAGCTTGCTTTAAGTAATTTGGTAGAGATTTCATCATATCCATGTGAATTTTTGGGCTTAAGGGATTTAATAATGTTTTCAATTTCCTTCCTTGTTGAGAATTTGAGATTGATATTTGGAAATGAATTGTTAAAGGCACGAGACAGATAGTATATTGGATTATTATTATTATTATTATTATTATTATTATTATTATTGGAATATGTTTTCTCAGCTAATGAAAGGAAATATTCATTAAATGCACTTGCGATAGCTTGTGGATTGTTAGTGGACTTCCCTTCAATATTCAAACTTTGTACGTCTTCATTAACAGATTTCTTTCCTGATTCAACTTTCACAATATCCCAGGTGGTTTTAATTTTATTGTTTGATTTTAGAATTTGGCTGTTATAGTTATTCTGTTTGGCTTCTTTAATGACTTTTGACAAAATTTTACAGTACATTTTGTAGTGACTTTTTAGTCTTGGATCATTACTGTCCCTACTGGCCAAATATAGTTGTCTTTTGTGTTTACATGAAGTTTTTATTCCAATTGTTATCCAGGTGGATTTGTTTTTATTTTCATTTTTGACTATTTTTAAGGGAAAGCTTGAATAAAAGATCCTCAAGTATGTGTTCAGAAAGCAATTAAATTTAGAATCAATATTATTGCTGTCAAATACATTGTCCCATGATTCATTACTTAATTTTGTGACAAAATCTGCCATCGTATGCTTGTTGATTTTCCTTACTGTTTGATATTGTTGATTACTGGGCTGAAGGTCAATATTATTTATTTCTATGAGTTGAGCATCATGATCGGATAAGCCATTTATAAAGGGTCCTACAGTATAGTCTCTTAATTTTGAGTTATCAATGAATATATTATCTATCGCTGAACTAGAATTATTTTGAACTCTTGTGGGAAAGTTAACAGTACTGGAGAGATTGTAAGATGATAACAAAGAGTCTAAATTTAGTTTCCTATTACTGTCGATGAGATAGTTTATATTTATATCACCACAAATTATAAATTCAACTTTTGAACTATGCAGTACATTTAGGATGGTTTCTAATCTATTTATAAAGTGATCGAAGTTTCCAGATGGGGCTCTATATAAAGTCAGTATACAAATATTAGAAAAAGGAGAGTCTAACTTTAGAGCACATGCTTCCAGATCCTGGTCTTTGCAATAATCTTCTAAATTTATTTTAGTAAATTTTAGGTTTTCATGTACAAAAATACTCACTCCTCCTTTCTCCAGTGTTTTCCTACAGTATCTAGCACCTAAATTATAATTTTCTAAGTGAAGATGTTCTAATTCCAGCTGTTTCATATGATGTTCAGTAAGGCACAGTATGTGTGGAAGATTTGAATTCATGGAGCTTATTAGTTCATTTGTTTTGTTTCTCAATCCTCTTATATTCTGATGGAATATTCTTAGTACTTTATTATTCATTGAATTTAGTAGACTGCAATTACCTTTTCCGATTTCTATTGGTTCACTTACATTATTGTCATTATTATCTCTGGTAACATATTTAAATGGCCAAATGGGTAAGACTACCAGGAGACAGTCAAGGTCTCAGCTCAGACTCATGAGAAAGCTGTAATGCTTTTCATTGTGTCAGGACAGTTTCATTATCAATACAAGAGTGGTTAAGAAAAGCAAAAATAATCATCTCAATTAGAAGCCTGTCAGAAAAGTTCAATGTTCTATGTATTTATTAAATCTCAAGCTTTTCATTTTAATCTGATTCCATTACAATTTTTTCGACCAAGACGATTCCAGGGACAAAACAAAATATTAGGGTTAGGCATCCCCATCTATTCAGCAAGCACCCGCAACAATGTCCCACTTCTTGTTCATGAAACAAATATGGTAAAACAGATTATTTGCTAGAAGATGGTTCCTAAAACTAATAAATGAAATATAAACACCATTTGCGGAGTGCTCATCAGAAATTACGTAAATTCTGTGCCAGGAAACTTACAGTTTGTTTTGTTTGTTTATTTATTACATTTCTTGGATACCTTGTGTGTGATATGATATACAGATAAATGATACAAACTCCGTCCCAAGTGCAAACAATATATATTATATGTCTTTGATCTTGCTCTCTTCTACACTACATGTTTCGGCCTGTAACGGCCATCATCAGGTGTATACTCTTACGTTGCTGCCACACTGAACCCAGTCTAAAATTTTACATTTAAAAAACACATTGTTATTTTCTTCGTTATTATCAACATCTACCTCGTTGATATCTGTCTGGTATGTAGATTATTTTGAACACGTCAATTTTGATTTTCCTGTACTAGCACTATAAAATCTTTAGTTATAATTTAAAATCCTTTAAAATTTTCTCTAAATTTTAAATTTTAAATTTAAAATTGTTAGGGTTACTCGCCCTATGTCTAAAGTGCTGCAGTGGCTAGTTCTTGTTTCCACACTGTACAGGTGTTATTCTGTGTAGTCTTCCTGCGTGCATGCCGCTGCTTGTCTTTACTGCGTGTGCTCTTGATTTTCCTGTAGTAGCACTATAAAATCTTTAGTTATAATTTTAAAATCCTTTAAAATTTTCTCTAAATTTTAAATTTAAAATTGTTAGGGTTACTCGCCCTATGTCTAAAGTGCTGCAGCGGCTAGTTCTTGTTTTCACACTGTACAGGTGTTATTCTGTGTAGTCTTCCTGTTTGCGTCCCGCTGCTTGTCTTTACTACGTGTGCTCATACATGTGCTCATCTACATACCAGACAGATATCAACGAGGTAGATGTTGATAATAACGAAGAAAATAACAATGTGTTTTTTAAATGTTAAATTTTAGACTGGGTTCAGTGTGGCAGCAACGTAAGAGTATACACCTGATGATGGCCGTTACAGGCCGAAACATGTAGTGTAGAAGAGAGCAAGATCAAAGACATATAATATATATTGTTTGCACTTGGGACGGAGTTTGTATCATTTATCGTGTAGAGTGCAACAGGATGCTTAAATATAATATAATATACAGAGCTTGCATTATTACTCATGTTAGCAGTTTCTAGTGAAAATTCTTTCATGATAATTACTGGGCCTTTCTTTCATATAACACAGACTCTTCCAGTTGGAAGTTACAAAGGAGAACATTCCAAAGAGTTATACAGCACTGGCTTAAGTAATTTCTCTATGCCACCAGATTTATTAATTCTAAAGAAAGAAAGGGGGAAGATATATCAAAAATATTATTTCATAATATGAAAATGATATCATAAACAGAAAACTAATACATATTCACCAGAATGAAAAAAGATAAAGGAACATATCTGGCCTTCACAAAAGTTAATTCTTATGATTCTCTATGCCTAGGAGATCAAAAAAAAATGTATTAAATGACAAGATATATTAATTCTGAATACACATCCTGATTCAGCAAATCTACTACTTAGAATGCAAACTAAATCTAATTCCCATTTTCTTCCTTCTGAAACATTGAAGCTACATAAGTAAACATGCCCTGAGATTAATTCATTAAGCACTATGCCATGAATTATATATGGAGGCAGAAGATACAGCTCCCTCCAGTCTTTTTTAATTCCCAGTACTAGATGCAGGTGAGTGGTAAGCTGCATGTCCCAAATATTTTATCCCTTGAGAAAAGAGCCTCAGTATGCACTGGAGAGGAGCAAAAACTGAACCCCTGAGCCAGGTTTTGCAGTGGTGAAAAGAAAAATCTCCATCCCTGCCAAGAATCTAACCCAATTCTTTGGTAATGGCCTAGTCACTGTATAAAATGAGGTATTGCACAATGAAGATAAACAAAACGTTTAAACTGTAAGTTGTTTTGCATGGGTGCAAAACACTATCTCTTTGCACAAACATAAACAAGTATTTGAAAACTAAGAACTCAATACCTGGACCTAAGGGAGTAAATCAGGATATAGTCAAGAGGTACTTTATGACTTATGAGGGTCACCAAGTGCTGCTATGAGTGAATCAGAGAGCATGACTGGTTAGATGTTTAGCTAGCAAGGAAGGTAGACAAATAATGCATACAGAATTCTGAAAATGAAAATTCTTGCAAAGAAGGTACTTGGAAGAGTGAGGAGATTAAGGGTCAACATTAAGCCATATCTTAGGGAAGCATGTTATATGGATGGGAGGTATGGAAATGACTTTGAGTTGGGTCCATTGGTGGGCTCTTGTATTAGTGGTAACAAACCTTTGTATTCTGTTACCAGAGTGTTATTCAGTTCAATTAAAAATATTACTTACTTCACTGCTTTCTTCTGAACTCTCTGATACTTCTTTTGTGGCTGCTCTACTTTTGCTGGCAGCTGCTGCTTTGCTTCCCCCACCAGTGCTACTATTGCTGGAAACCCCTTTCCTTCCCCTCCCAGCTGCACTCACTTTACTGCCACCTGAAGGCTTTGGTGCGGCAGTTTCCACTTCATCCACCTCAGCTAGAGCAAATAAATCACTAAACTTCTTCCGCTGAACGTCTGTGCATAAACTCTGAGCCTGTTGTAGTGCCCTTTGCATGGAGTCTAAGCTATAAAGGTGGAAATTATTCTGTCGACAACATTGTCTTAACTGGTCTAGATGTCCAAGCACTTGCTCAGCACTAGGAGGACCAGCTCCTGCCCCCAAACCAGCTCTGTTCGCTCCACCACCACCACGTTTTCGTTTATTTGGGGAGGTATTTGGGTACCGACTACTTAAGAGATTGGCCACTAACTCTCCCAACTTTTCTTCATGTTCTTGACACCAGTACTTAAGTGCAGAAACCACAAACACATCCTGTGGAGGTCGTACTTCACGAGACAGTAGATGTTTCAGAAGCTCAGCTGTAGGTCTGTGTTAAAACATGCAAAGAGAAGCAAGTGGGTATGTAATGCACATATTTTAATTATATATACATCATGTTACTTTATTTAAATATCCACATGCATGAACACACACACACAACAGGTGCATGCTTAACTGTAATTTCTTACAGTCCTACATTCACATAAAGGAACCGCAACAATTCAAATTATGGTGGAAGTCCATAAAACACAGTTTCTGAAGGGTACAACACAATACACTATCACTGACCAGCCAAATGTATCAGAAAATTAATTCTTAAAGAGCACTCATGGATTGCATAAACAGTTCTTTTTATTTAAAAGAAAAAAAAATTGTCATAATTCTACAATATTTTGACAACCGTTATTCCACCTTCCTTATTATCAATACAATGGGTAACTGTACTGTTTGTTTCTTGTGTTTATATTTTAATATCAAATGCTTTGCTATCAGATTTCATTGAAGATGGCAATAATAGTTCACAAATTGTTACGATTCATAAGACAGTGGTCATGGCCCTGAAAAGAACATATATGAGTGTAACTGAAGGAAGGGATGCCACAAAAATCATGTCAGCAGAATGAGTCTTGCAAACAGCATCCTGATCTCTGTACGAGTAGTTTTCAGTAACATGGTTTTAGAAACAATTTAGAAAGAGGAACACAAAAATTAGTTTACCTGTTCCTTTCATAGCCACTCTACAATATTATGACAGATGTTCTAAATGTTAAGACAAAATTATGGAATATTTAGGGCAAAGATGAAACAGAATATTCTGTATAATATAGCTAACCGAATTCCTCTTAAAACAATATTTACATCATGGGAAGAGATAATTTCCACCACTACTAATGCAGCTAAAATGAAGACATAAAAATCAGAAAAAAAAAAATTAGATTACCCTGTGTAATGAAGAATAATTATGGTGTAACTCTGTCATGGAAATAAACATATAGTACATAAATCTCTTCAGTATTTCATATCGCTTCCCTCTATTCTGAAGAATGCAATTTCAAAATAATAGTAATTTTGTAAGTTGCTGATTTGCTACAGTTTCTCATTAATCTATATACTACAGTAGCATTAATGGTAGGAACATACCTTTCCTGTTTCAACATGAGCAAGATCGATGTCAGGGCTTCTGCATGACTTGAAAATTCCAACCTTGGCAAAATTGGTAAAACATAGTCTATAGGAATTCCATGAGCTGTGACTAACTGCCAAAGGAAATACTGTTCAAACGTTTCCCACGATAGACTGGCTGATAAAAGCGCTCGGAAGGAGTCCGAACGGAACATAACAAGGCGTCCTTGTAGAATGTGACACACCAAGTCTTGTAACTGGGCTGCATCCACTGTTGATACAACCAAGTGCAGGAGTTGGGCATGACCAATTGCAACTGATGGGAACTGAATGTATACTTCAGGTACAAGCCAGCAAAACAAGTTCACGTCATCTTCCTGGCAGAGCTGAGCAAATATGAAACATAAGCTTTAGAACAATGTCAAATAATGAGAAACACTGAATACATAGAGATGAAATTCATTGTTACTTACCTCCAAGTCAGTAAGCAAGCAACTTTCTAATTCCTTGTCCAGTGCTTGACAGAATTCACAGTACGCTGATGACTTTCCATCATTTAATTTACTGAGGAAAGAAACTATATGTTAGCTAGGCTGTAATTCATAATATTCCTATGATAGACACTTTACTTGCACTATTCACATTTAAGTACAAGTTATGAATAGCAAAGCACACAATTCAATGTCTCCCTTTAAGAGCTGCTGTTCAAATGATCAATATATATCTGCATTTATGGAAATCAAAGGTTTGTCAATTGATTCACAAAAGCTCACAATCTGAATCAAGTTCACACTTTCAGAAAATATATTTCCAAGATCCACTGCAGCAGTATCTTTCCATCTATGTCTGCATCTCAAAAGCAGTCCACACTCTTTTCCTTATCAAAATTGTGTACTCATTTTCCCCATGCATACTACAATTTTTTTCACCCATTTCATCTTTCTTAATTCAACTGCTCTATCAATAACAGACAAAAGGAGTATGTACTGGGAAGCTCCACATAACCCACATGTAACACTAGGTATAAATATTACACCATATGTATTCATTTTGTGTTATAATTAAGCCTTCAGTACTTACCAAGCCTTAAGAAAATACAGAAGTAGATAGCCCACTCTTGGCTGGTGGCTCGACATTTCTGCCAGGACAGATAAAATAGGGTGCCTACGTGGATCACCCTCTGGCAGCTGTACTACATTGCGCAACATAACAAACAATGGGCGACCTATACTGTCCTCAAGTGTTCTGCAAGTCAGTAAAACAGATTCATAAATGTAACACACAAGTGTTTAAGAGATGTTACACACATCATTATTTGGTAACGAATTCACATATCGATAACAAAATTTACAAATAAAAATGATTAGGAAACACTTGTAAAAACAAGGAGAATATTTAAAGGAAAAGAAAGCCACTCCTTAGGACAGTGATAATCAAATTATGAACAAACTTGAACAAAAATGAGACCCCATGGTGTATATGTGGCTGTGTGCATGCATGTAAACATACTGTTCATTTCTAAAGACTAGCATCTATGAGAAATTGTACAGCTATGTATCACCTTACTACATGTGAATAAAGTAAAAGAAAAAGTAAAGCTATCCGTGTACCAGGCTGTGAAGGCCCATATAACTGTGAGACGTTGAGGGTCCCACATTATCTAGACAATCGGCTCAAAAATGGCGGTAAGGTTGTCAGCCTTATGCGCCAGCCACGCTTTACTCCCCTGGAAAATTATTTAATTCATTCCTGGTACTCATTTCTGTTAGACGCTGAGTGAACCCCAAGGCCATAGTGCGGCTGGAAGGATTAGGTCAATTGAACAAAAAAAAAAAAAAATCCAATGACCTCATCGGGACTTGAACCCGCAACCTTCTGGCTTGTAGCATAGCCCCTCAACCAACTACACTACATGTGAATTCATATCATATATCTGCAGCCTTAAGCTTACCAAATTAATATACTTACTCATCATTAACATCTACAGGAAAGACTTTTCCTTCCAATTGCTCTTTTAAAACAGTGCAGAGACATGAGCCCAACAGAGAAATGACTTCAGCGTCCATATCTTCTTCTTGAATGACTAATTGTACCAACCTTTCCATAGCTTGGCATCTAAAGGAAGAAATATGTTTTGCTTAATATGCAGACCCAAAATTTCATCAATTGTTTTCCAACTGCAATGGTCTTAAATTCAGGAATAAACTCTACACAATGTTTTAAACCGAAGCACTTCACGAATAAGTTACCCTATTTTGCTAGAATGAACCTTCATCATATATCCATTTATTCATCTGTACAGTTAAAAATCTGTTTACTTTATTTTCTTCTGTATTGCCAGAAACATGACTTTGAGGTGATTCAAAATATTAAATAAAAATAAGTTGGATGGACATCCAGGCAGATGGTTTCATTTGTAGACAAATCAAATGTCAGTCCACTGGGAATAGAACCTCAAATGTTCCTGCTGTACTAATTTGATGATGATGATGATGATGATGATGATGATGACAGTGGCAGCAACAGCAGTGCTGATAATGACATGATGATGCATGTATGTGGGACACTAATGGAATGATTAATGGCAAGGAAAACGAAAAGTACTACGAGAAAACCCTATCCCAACATAGATCCCACACTGAATTGGAAGCTGGCAACCATTTGACAAAAACACTACTGTGCTATTCTGCAAACATTAAACTATGTAAATGTAAAGCTAAGAACCTATACTTTGCAGAAGATGACAATATTCAAAGCAGACATATCAATCTCATGTGACAAACGTATCCTCAGTACTAGCAAGAAATTTGCTTTTTCTTGTCTAAACCTGTTCTCTATTCACTACTTCATGTAACTTATGACACTTCACTTAAATTAATATTACTATATACAATCTGATACATGTAATATTGTATTACATTTGAACGTCATGATGAACATACGCCCAACTAGTGAGAACATGCATATGAAGGGGGCACAAACACGGACACCACAAAAGGAAAATAATGGAGAATGGAGAGTTTTGTTCTCAAACAAATGTATTTTAGTGTGATCAACAATAATGCAATAGCATGGAAACATAAAATCTAATGCAGGGCAATGGTTTCAAAAAAGTGAACAATTGCCTGAAGATGGCCAAGTATGGCCAAAACATGTAGCAATTGATGTGATTTTGATGTTATTTTAAACAAAAGGGAGATTGTGAATATTTTAAAGTTGCATTAAAGATGGAGGTGAATGAGTGACATAATGTCAGGTTTTCTTTCTGAAATATTTAAAACAATTGCAGTAACTGTTCACATACTTCGCTTCATTGTCTCGTTCTAGATGCAATGTTTCTACAGCGACCCGTATTTCTCCTTCTAATTGTTGTACTATATCCAATTCACTCTCCTGCAGTTTTCCTTCAGCCACAGCAGGTTTCTCCTTTAATCTCACTTTTGCTGAAACAAAGACGCACACAAGACACACATTACATTTAGCATAATGAGAAAGTCAATACTCCGCTCTGCATACACAAAAAGCTAAGCCCAACTATTCTGTGCTACACTAAGCGAAGCTAGGACAAGCTTTTTCAGAGTACAGATAATGTATGTACAATAGCAGATGATTGTATATTTACACAATGCCGTATTACAGACGCGTTAGTTAGCCAACATANACGATGCCCCAGCCTCCATATTCGCCAGACATGGCTCCGTGTGACTTTTTCCTATTTCCAAAAATAAAGAGAACCTTAAAGGGCCGTCGTTTTACAAGCATAGATGACATTAAAAGCGCATCGCTGAAAGAGCTAAAGGCTATCCCAAAAATCGAGTTTGAGAAGTGTTTCGATGATTGGAAGAAGCGCTGGCGTAAGTGCATAATATCGAATGGGGACTATTTTGAAGGCGACAACATTAATGTAGACGAATGAATAAATATTTTTTCCAAAATACGGAAATTCCCGTCATTTTTTGAACACACCTCGTATACATATATGTGTATAATACAGACAAGTTAAGACACTGAAGCTGAACACAAATACTGGGATTCAAATTTCAGTCATTCAACACTGTTAAAATGAAATCAACAGAGAAGAGCAACCCTCTTAAGAAGTTCAAGAGACTGGCTTTGTAGAAACATCTTTTTACAAGAATTACAGAATTCACAAAGTTTCTTTCTTATAAGCCACAATGACAGACTGAAAATATGTGCATTTTTATGTGCCAGAAACTTTAAATTCTGAATCAGCCAATAGTTATCCTTCAAATTTGTGGTAAGGTATTAAAAGGTTTTCATTTCATAGCTTCCAAGTTTTATTTTGTGCTGCAATATTACTGTTAGGTCTATTTAATTCTAAACACTGTACATTCAGAAGTCAATATAATCAGTGAAAATGGAGAAAATCAATTTGCTCTTTTATTCTAAAATACTCATTATTTTGGTAAAGTCTCTTTAAACTTAAAACATTATAGCACAAGGAAAATGGAATAATGTCAGCATTACTTCAAAGTGTCACAGTTTCTGTCATTGTCATCTGTTCATTTTTGTACTGTTTCACATACATTTTACTAAAAACTGTAACAAAACACAATCACGTGTTCTGTGAATAACTTTTATGTTAATTACTGTGGTAAAAAGAGTATGATTTTTCATTGTCATGCAGCTGGCAATACAGTGAATTTGCTAAAAGCTGGCCCATGTCAAATACGTATTTAAAGCACAAAACACCCATCTCTCCTGTACTTTATACAAAATTACTATAAAGCATCCAATATAATTTCGTTATATGAAATGAAAGAACAGATTGCCTTCTTAAAGAAGACACATTTTAAAAAATTAGAGACAGCAGCTGTGCATGTAGTGCTTACTTTAACATTCCAAGTTCAAGCATTTATCCCATACCTATTATAATTTAATAACATCAAATAAATGGAACCACAAAGATACATTTAAAATATGGCAGATCTCAGATCCTCAATTTCAAAATTTCAGGGGGATACAAATTTGTGAAAAATGTTATGTTCATTAATATTTTCATACTTATTATCAGATTTGATCTTTGTAAACTATAAGTATAACCCAAGCTGTTAGTTACATAACACAATAATAATGTCATTATCCAATGATCAGAGCTTTATGGGGAAGTTAAAATGTTTACTGAATTAAGGTTCTTATGAGAAACACCTTAATTCAAATGTATTTATAAGACATGCACTTTCTGATATGTACATGAAATTCTAAGAAGGGGTTAAGAAGGAAAGGGGGTTCTGGTTGGAGTGCCACTGCAATGACTGAACTGGGAGCATATTCAGTTTCCATGTCAACCAAAACTGGATACAACACAAATTTAGATAAAAATACGTAGTACCTACTGTATGGGAATGTGTCATTTGTGAAAATACTACAAAGCAGCATGTTTTTAGAATGTCAATATCCCATACTAAATTTAATATATACAATGTTTCACACTTTAAATTGCAAATCAGCATTACAAGTGCTCTATTTATGTGCATAATTAACTGGAATTTATGCTAAGAAATATAAACACACAATGTACTCAGTGATCACTTTGGAATATTCACTGTTTCCCTTAAATGTAAAAAGTCATGGAAACAACTGGGGGGAAAGCTGTAGGATGAATGAAGGGGGGGGGGAAGTGAAAATTGCAGTATGAAATTATAAGCACTGAAACCATCTGCAACACTTTCATTTGCAATTAGTGCATTTCTATGGGAGAAGAAAGTAACATGGGCACTTATGTGATGCATTATTCTTTATACCTTTAGGTTACATTTCCTAGTGTCAAGGTGAAGGGTAGTGGAGGTATACCTTCACTCCCCCCATATATCTTCATGGGACAGTGCTTAAGTAATTAAACAGAGGGACAACTTTTCCTTTTATTGCAGCAGCAGGCTGCAGTGCTCATGGAAAAGTGTTTTCCATTCCCTTAGATCTGTACATTCTGTCATATTCTTTCCTAATCATTAAATGAGCTTATAAAATTGTATGCCTGGTTCAGTACAAATGAAAAAAAATGTTACTCAGACTCAAATCAACTATCAAATTTCTTTCTCACTATTTGTCTTATGGAACGTGGAAGGTTAGAGGCCTAATTTCTGGTCTCAATGACAATGTCAGTTTTATACTAGAAACAAGCACAAATATTTATGTTGTATTTCATTTTTACAGTTACTGAAACTTACTGGTTTAAAGTCAACAATGAGAATAATTTCAGTTTGGCAGAAAAGGTAAAAGCCCTCATATTTCTCTTTGTGGGCATACAATGTTGAAAGGCATTAAGAAGAAAATCTGGGAAGAACTTATAAATACATGCTTTTCTTAAACTCCATCAATGAATGAAGGCCAGTAGAAACCAAAAACCAGCAATTATATTACCTATTACCGGGCATAATATCCATTAGTAGAGTTTCTAACTACTTCAAATTTGCCAGATATAACATCTAAGTTCTGAACTGTTGCCAAGTTTATAGCTGTTAGAACAAAATTTGTACAGACTTATGGGTGTGTTTATGATGCATTCCCACACAAAATTTCACAAGCCTAGCTACAATGGCTCAGTAGTTATAATAATAAAACAGAAAGCTAAATCCAGATTTAATGTGACCACTATGTTGTTGACATGTAAGCAAAAGAATGACCTTAACAGAAATTGAATGAGGGAAATTAAAAGTATAAGGTGGGGGTGGCATACAATTGCACAATATTTACATCAAAATGTAATAAAAATTGGTCAACTGGTTCAAAAGCTGAATGGGTCAAACACACACACACAGACAGCATGGCAATCTCACAAGTCTACTGTTTTCCTTACTAAGGGAAAGTAGGATAAAAACCCACACAAACACGAAGGTAAAGCACAAACCAAATTTCAGATTATCTCCTAGTTATGCTGAATCAACAGTATATAAAATTGAGCAACTAAAATAGCATACATCTGTTAATGTAACAACATGTTTGAAGGACTGCCACTGAAGGTAAAAAGAACTGTGTTTGAGAATCTGTTTATATGCCCCAAAGAATGGGTTTAAATACACAAAATTCTCACATTTTACAATAAATTACAGGAAGAGGAATGATGTCCCACATGTTAGACAGGTACAGAGAGTGTGAAGTTCCCAAGTCACATTTCTTGCAAGCCGGTACCCCAAGCGAGAAACTTGCGACAGATCATGCAACCAGGAAGAGTGTACTTATTTATATATTACGATATGTTTGAAGTGAAATGTGTGTCTTATTTTACAATTCTATATTAGCCACAAAGTCATAACAGGTAAAGACTGACTTCTTGCATCACCTAGTGGAATGTCATCATCATCCTCCTCATCCTCCGTACTTCGTGGGATGGGGGTAAGTGTTGGAGCTGCTGTTTCTTCCTCATCATCGCTGAATGTTGGTTCTGAATCACCGAGATGATTATTGGAAGGCGTATGGTTCTCTTGGCCATCTAACATTTGCTCTGTTGGTTCTTCCTTTGTGTTCATATGAATCCCAGAGTTGAAATCATCTTTACCTTCAAAGTAATCATAAACAAATGTATGTAAAGTTAGTAAACAATACATTTTTTTGAAAAGCAAGTATGCTAAAAATCAAATTTCTATTACTGAATTTAGCTGTAACTATAGAAACAATTAGGCTACAGCACGTACTTCATCCATGAGAGGACACAGGCTAATGCAGATAATGGCTGAACTGTTTATGACAATATTGTGACATGCAGACCCATTGCTAGAAGACAAAGGCAAAATAAGCGACTATACAACAAACATTGCAAGGTAATGGCTCTGTCAATAGACATGAATGCAACAATTGTACTGCAACAAGGGAGCAGTGTTTTCTATACGGTCTATGCCAAGATGTTTTAAGCAGGACAAGTGAGGAGTGTAGGTGAAGAGTTGGTTGGAGTGTTAGTGAGATGGAACACTGCTTCAGTTCAGTTACTGTGAGCTGCTGCTGTGAGAGTCCAATAGCTGAGGCCGAGGATGCTTCAGGAACTCAGATGAAGGGAATGTCTGCTGTTGGAAGGTAGTACCAAGCAACGGCTAGTGGCGACTGTAACAGATTGAGAACATCAGTCTGTGTGTGACAGTGACTTGTAAAGTGCAGCCATGAGAAGTGTTCAATAAACCTGATTACCAATCCAAACACTCCATCATGTGACAACTGGTGTTAGAAAAGGGATTATTGGATTAGAAAGGATCAGACTGAGAGAATAATTGGGCTGAAGATATTGTTACACTGCCAGACTATGGAGATGGGACAGATACTGGCACGCCTGCTGGCAAAAATGAATGTCATGCAAGAGAGGATGGAAGCCAAGACAGAAGCTAATCAAGGAAAGATATATGTGAAGATGGACACCAATTAAGAAAATATGGATGTCAAGATGGACACCAATCAAGAAATAATGGCTGACCTGAAAACCCAGATAGGCTCTCTTGCCTCACACATTGAGGTAAACCAAGATGGATTCCTGGCTAGAAGAAATGAAGGCCTGGTGAAAAGAGATGATGCCTGCCAAAAAGTGATGAAGGCTTGTCTAGAAAAGGGAAAGGCCAACCCAGAGAAGACGAAGGCCGGCCTGGAAGAAATGGGGGCCGCTGTGAATGTCTTCGAAGAAAGGTTAGACAAAATGGACACCACAGATTTGGAGGTCAATTGACAGAAGTTCGAGGCCATAGCAGTGCATCAGGAAGTCCCTAATGAAGAGGCTACAGCAGAAATTATAGGAGCACTGGAGAACTGATATGGGGACTGGCATCTACCCACAGCGCAGGCCGCGCCATAACTCAAGCGGTTAGTCACTGGCTTCCCATTGCGGCAGCCAGGGTTCGATCCCAGGTCTGGTCAAGTGGGATTTGTGGTGGACAAAGTTGTGCTGGGGCAGGTTTTCTCTGAGTACTTCGGTTTCCCTGTCAATCTTCATTCCACCAATTGCTCCATGATCACCCTCACCTATCATCTTGGGCTGGTACAATAGGCCAGAAGTGGCCGCAGTACAAGGGACTTAGTCCCAACTAGCAATAAAAAAATACCCACAGGGCACTACCAACAGCCAAAGAAACAAACACAGGATGACGGTGGGTCCTGGCAGAAGTTGGCCACTGCCTAAGGATGGTTGACCTGCCGCTCAGGAATGGCATGGCATAAGGGCCACAGTTATAAAGGATCGATGGTCAAGGAGAGATGCTGAAAGGGATCAGAATGCAGTAACAGCATCAGGAACTGAGGTGCAAGATAACAGCTACATATGAGGAAGGAGAGGATATCCAACAGGATTTTCAGGAAGACAGTAGAGCTGGAGATAGAAAAGTGAATAGTTGGGTTTTCGACTGGGATGCAGAAAGTGAGTAACTGGACATTATGGAGGGGTCAGCCCCATCCAAAATGAAAGAAGAGGCGTCAGAAGCACAGCTCTTGGAAGAAAATGAAACTGTGGCATGCCTGTAGTCTATTCAGGATAAACAGCCTTAAAGAAGGAGCAATGTAGCACATAGACCCACTACTACGCAGCAAACATGAAATAAGCATCTATACAACAGCTGTTTCTAAGTAACAGTTCTGCCGACAGACATAAGCGCAACAATTCCACAGCAATGAGAGGATACAACACTAATGAGATGCAGTTTTTCTAAGCAGTCCATGCTGAGATGTTTTCAGAGGGACAAGTTAGGAGCCGCAGTGAGTTAGTGAAGAGTTGGTTAGTGTGTGGGTGAGTTAGAGGACTGCTGTGGTTCAGCTGCTGTGAGCTGTTGCCAGCTGAAGCTGGTAGCTGAGGCCAGCGATAGCTCAGGAACCCAGAGGAAGGCGAACATATGCCACTGGAAGCCCCTACCAAGCAACAGCTAATGAGACTCTAACAGACTGAGAACACTAGTCTGTGTGTGACAGAAATTTGCAAAGTGCAGTCACAAGTTGTGAGGTTGTAAGTAAAAAGGATGGGAAAGGTTAGATTGGGTATATGGTTGCCTAGCAACTAAACAGAAATTACTGTTAACTTAAAAACAAAGCTGTCCTGTACAATTGTAAATACACATTTCCATACTTTATGAGTACCAACTATGCCATGTAAACAAAGACTCTTCTGGATTACCACATATTACATTTCTTATTTGTACCACAAGTTTAACCACATTATTCTGTAGCTTTACAATTGAGTATGCAGGATACCTAAAGCTTCTGATAACATTTAAGAGGACAAAAGATTCTCAGTTCAAACTGTGGTATTCTGGGTTATGCCAATGTGTAGCCTGGTGGGAAGGGAGGTATCAGTCCTCTACCCTGAAGATTGAGTCAGTAAGTCAATCCAAAAAACTGCTACCCATTCACTAGAAAACATGGTGTCATAACCCAGAGGACCTCAGAACTTATATGCTTTATAGAGTAAATCCAAGATAAATGAGATAACCATTGTACAGTTTTGACAAAACTTCTATTCTAATAAAAAGTTACAAGTTAAGATGAAGTAATAATTTCATGTGAAAATATGAGCATACCACAAAATTGCTGTCCTGAGAACAGACTAAGAAATAAACTGAGGAAAACCACAAATGAATCAATTTAAAACAGAGAATTTAGCTAAGCTCATAAAACTTGAATTCAAAATGAGTCAAATCCTTACCTTCTGTTGTTGGTGGGAGGCAGAATTCCTTGAATGCTTCCCTGACCATTGCTCTCAGCTCTCGGTCAAGTTTTGGATTGTCAAAAAGAGGGAACAAAGTTGGTAACACTCTTTTTTCCAAAATTTGACGAAGAGATGAAAAAATCCCAGCACGGACTTTGTCAGCTAACAAAGGGTAAAAATTTGGAATGATCTGAAAAGCAATTTCAATACATATAAATAAATTCTTGCTCCATATCCCACTTCACTTCACCAACAAACTTAACACTTTGCGGACCGGCAATTTAAATATTTCAATCACCCTGGGGACTGTCATTTTTAAACCTACTACCCAAACTTGTGCACTGTTCACTTTAAAAATTAATATAAAATCTCTTACTTAATTTTATGAACTAAAATTTTTGGAGAACACCTACCAATGCTTCTAGAAGTGCTTGAGAGTGTGTTATTTCTGGAAAGATCCCCCTTTGTGAAGTGGTATTACACAGAACTTGCAATGTAGTCATACTCCTTTTTTTGTGAACTGTGCAAGCACAGCACTGCCTAGAAGGATGCTTCCCCTTGGAATGTTCACTCTTCACAATTTTTGCGAGAGTATGTTTCCGCATATCACCCAAGAGTCACCCAGGGGTGTCCACGTGAGGCCTGCGTGGGGTGGGAGTTGGGGGGCCTGGTCACACTAAGTCTGTGCCTGACTCTGGTTCTGCCGCCACCATCTGGTCTGTACCCCAGGCCTTTGCCAAATTCATCAGAAATGCTTTGTATTTCAATTTCGAATCAGGGTTTAAATTTTTGTAAACCAAAAATGAATTGAAAATGGTACAATTTATAAGCCACAAGGCAACTTTCTTTGTCCACTTTATTATTTTCCTAGGAAGAGAATAATAGGCCAAGTATTGATTGGCTCTATCAACTCCCTTCATTAACATATTATACTCAGAAATATCAATAGGCTTCTTTACTTGTCCATGTCTACTGTGAACATCAACCATGCCTGAATTGTAAATTGTGGAAATCATATTCACAACACGAGTATCCCTATCTCCAAAAAATAGTTCTGCTACTTCAGACACTTGCGTTGGGTCCGATGGAATTTGTTTCACCCCTGGATTTCCAGTAAACTGTCCCAAAGTAGGCATTTTGTCTACTTTTCCCCATGTGGCTGTCCCCGCAATTTTACTACCTGCACTTTTGTCGGAGCTACTTTCACTTTTACAGTCTGTGGCCACAGTTGTTTGTTATCCCCTTGTCACTGCCAATGTCTAAATCACTATCACTACACCGTCAGAGAACAAGTCAGATATTTCTTGTTCTCCGAGAGATTGTTTGGTTTTCAACCTCTTCTGTCCTTGACTCATTGCACTAACTTCCTGTCTGGTATATAAGAGCTTGAAGGGTCAAAGATCATTTTCTCTTGGAGGGGGAAACCAAACAGTGAGATCAAGTTACTGCCTACTAAGCAAACATTCCAGAATAATATTACGCAGTAGTCATTTCATTTGGGTGGTGCCAGTGCAAGGTATAGTGTGTTTCAACATAACGTGTCCTAAAATCATAATAATATCACGTTTAAAAGCGCTGGGCATAAAAATATGCCGCAGTCCGCAAAGTGTTAAAGAGAATTGAAATTCGAGGAATATATTCTAACATAATAAAAACATTCATGTAATTCACTTACTCTGCATAAAAAATCAAGTAATGTGGCTGTGACAGCTGGATGTGATCGCATTGAATGATGCATAACAAGAATGGCTGGTTCTAAAAGAAAAGAAATACAAAGAATAAAGTTAACTTCCCTTTATTTCCTACACTTCAACAGGACAGGAATGGCAGGGGACATTTGATTTTACTGATGTATGGCATTACGCACAGCAAAGGGATAAGTAATAAATTGTGACCATGCTTTAAATATAAAAATCTCTTCATGATTTCCAGAGTAACACTGTATCCGAATGCCAAAATAAAGAAAACCTTAAAATGGAGGAACTGAGATTCTCATGGCTGTAACTATGAAGACCGCAGTCTTCTGGGTTGTAACACCATGTAGTTCGGAGACAGCCTGAAGTTTTTCAGAGGAACATACACCTCCAACTTCAGTGCTGAAAATCAAACCAAGCAAACAACAAGCAGAAGCAGGCAGCTCTCTCCAAAAAACACAGTGCTACAACCCAGAAGACCATACACTTTTTAAACAAACAAAATTTAACAAAAGAGGTAAAAGAGCTGGCCCACTGAAATTTAATTCCCAGTGCAAGAGAAGGTGCAATATAAGATACAATATAAGATACAAGAATAAGAGAATACCAACTGAGACAACCAGCATACATTCATCAAGATTGGAGAATTCTTGTATCCACCAATGCTCTATGACTATGAACTCAAATGAAGGACAGACCAAAGACAACCACAGATGTGACATGCTTTAGTACTTGAATCAGCTTAGTCAGTAAAATGATTGGTTATGGAATGAATGACCACATTTCATATCCACTGCTCTCTTTGCCAACATCTCCAGACTGGCTCTGGGCAAACTCAGCTTCATATTCCAAGAAACAGTGGGAGTTCTTTCCTCAACGGAGAAACAGCTAGAGCAGAAAGCTAACCACTCACTCTAGTGCTGAAGTAAAGAACGTGTGGGATTTCACCGCCATTCTCCATACATTTACATGCCATGGGACCACTATCACTTTTTATAAAAATCCTTAAATGGAATTAAACAAATTTGAAGCCAAACTAACCTAAGAAGATGATTATGGTCTAAGTGAAGAAAGTTGAGACACTCAAGCAACCGCTCAGTGCCTACTATCTGCATAAATGGATGGATGGAAGACGCAATTTTGCCACATTTACACTTGACACTTTATCTGACTCACTACAAGTTCTCATTATGCAATTTACTGGCATGACTTCAACCATTCATAGCTAACTATTACTTGTGCAAGACATAAATTACATTTTGATTAATCTCTGTACACATGAGTATGTGTTAGTTTGTATTTTCATTTTTTCTCAAAAAAGACAGCAGCTATCAGCCCCAGTATGGACAAGCTTCCATAACTGCACCAAGAATAGCATTTTGAAAGGTAAAATATCACAAACACTACATGGGTATGTGTCCATTAGACAAATAAACTGACACTCACCTATGTTCATGATGTTATCCTTATCAGCCTCAAAGAACAACCAGTCATAGAAAAGTGCCAGTTTTGCATTGGATGCAGCTACACTTGAAGTGCATGTTGTTAGAAGCCAACCAATAACTGCCCATCGAGGGATGATATCCGAACAAAGCAATTCATTTGTTGGATGAATTACCCCAACGATAAAACGGATCAAGTCACAGCGAAGAGACTGTGACTCAGGTGTGGCCAAATACTGTGAAACAAATTTTGAAGGTCAATACAAATATAAGTCATTACAAAATGTATTACTCTCTTACAGGTGGGAAAATTCTGCCATGTGCAAGAAATGAGCTACAGGCAAGATGACTATGCACAGCTAGACAGTCCTCAAAACCCAAACTTATCTCATGGTGGCCCCTCTTTTCCCTTTAGAAAAGAAAAGAAAAAGAAAGAAAGAAAGAAAGATAAAATTCCCTGAAGTGGAAAACAGTTCATTGGATTCTTTCTAGGTGTTCAGACTTCTGTCTGCTGTAATATAGGTACAATAACTATGAGAACAAGAACTAGAAATGATACAAGTACCTTGCATGTACCTACACTTTGGAAAGTAACTTCAGCCACTGCATATATAAAGCATTTATGCAGAGTGTAATTTCCATGTACATGACTTGTATATGAAACTGAAAACTCTGAGTCCTCTGACTTTACTGCATGGAGGTTGTATTGTGTCTACTTTATCAAGTTTCTTTTCCATCTTAACCCTTTCAAACACAATTCTGAAGTTTTTGCTATGTAGTTATTAATCTAGGATTAAAAGTCTTGTGCAATCATTACACCTAATCAGGATACAAAATTGTTTTTAAAAGAATATCATAAATACAAAACAACTGCATAATACTGGGAAGTCATATGCCATAGAATTATGGCCAACTACAGAAAACTTACAATTCAGCAGGACTGCAAGTTCAGAGCTCAAAAAATAAACAAATAAACAACAGATTAGATTGTCAGAAACATATACACTTCACATGTAAAAGACACACACAATTAATGAAATATTTTCTTATGCTCCACTGAAATTAACAAAATTTTAGCTATACAAAATTTAGTGTTCCATTATTTAAAATCTTTTTTCTTTAAAAGAGAAAGTACTTGTGTATCAACAATATCCATTTGATGCCTTTTCCAATTTTATGATGTTTAAACCTATACATCACTTCAGGAAACTGTTTCACATCATTAGTATCAAGCGAAATCATAAGATGGGAACAAACCAAACATCAAAAGAGGAGTTTAGAATTTTGACAACTGTAGGTGTCCTGTGTTCTCTAACCATGTTATATTCCCAAAACCTAAACACCAAAAACATGGATTTAAACTCTTCCTGACCCAGACTGATATTTTGTATTACCTGTCTCTGGAACCATTCTTGGTAACGTTTATGATATCCGAAGCGAACTTGGGATGTGAGAAACACCAACTTTCTCTCCATGTCAGGCGTAAGACGGGACTGCAGGAACCTCCGTGATGTTCGTGTCTGAAGCAACTGTAATACACCTACAGAAAAAAATTTCACTACTTATTAATATCTTTATTTTCTGTCCTCATTGGACATAAATCCCACCATAGATTAATTATAACAGCTACACAACTGTATAAGCTTAGATATTCTAATGACAGTGAAAATTAGGAATGTGGTCTCTGGGATGTGATACCATGCACTCTGGTAGACAGCTACCAACACAGAATGGTATTATACACTGACAATGGAGGCATCAAGTTCCACTGAAACACTGTATCTACCTATATGATTACATGGTCACATGCCAGAAACCATAATCTCAATTAAATGTCTATGTATTTAGTCCCTCTATAATATTATATAACAATTATATATATTATACATAACAATTATTAAAATATTAAAATATTCTCCATTCAACACCAACACGACATGTTAGGGCTCTAAACTGTTACAATGTTTCCATGCGCGCTAAAATTGCGCATTGCAGTCTACTAAAAATTAAAATATTTCATAAAATTCTATCCACATTGTAAGGGGCATTGTCCACTTATTTAAAGCTATGTGATGCGTGTATTCCTGACAGTTTGTTTCAGCAGCTATGTCTGTGATCTGCAAAATGCCCCTTGTTTGTGTTGGTCCCTCAAATATGTGCCTCAAGAAAGCTGAGGCGCATTCTTTACCCCAACAGATTTAAAAGAATCAAAACTCTAAGAAGCCGTGACTGCCTCTGTGGTCTAGTGGTCAGAGTTCCTGGCTACAGATCCAGAGGTCTGGGTTCGATTCCCAGCGCTACCAAATTTTCTGAGAAGTAGTGGGTATGGAACGGGGTCCACTCAGTCTCGTGAGAATAATTGAGGGGGGAAATAGTGGCTGCGGTCTAGAAAACCGAAATTAACGGCCATGGGGATTCGCTGCACTGACCACACGACATCCTCTATCTGCTAAAGTTGGAGCTAACTTCGCCGACAAGTGGCGTTCACTTGTGGACTGAAACAATAGAGTTTATTTAGTTTGTTTGTATTAAGAAGCTGTTTATTTTAGCTCTACAAGTACCTGGCAACTGCTTGTTGCTGGTTTCTTGCTTGGCTTATTTTTCAGTACTAAAGAAGGAGGTAATATGTTCTTCCAAAATACCACATATCTACCAAACTACATGTCACTGCACCCCACAGGACTGTACTCTTTATAGTCACCATCTGAGAACCTCAAATCCAGCACCAGCCACTTATCTGTCTACTATTACTAAGTAAATAGGACTCTCTTCATATAAAAATTGTGACAAAAGAAAATAAAATAAATTTTAAATAATTAAAGACCATCTATGTGCTGACAACCAAACAAGGGTGGAAATTAAAGAAAAAAGAAAAAAAAACAATGTCTCATTATTATGAAGCATGCCTTGTTTCAAGCTGTTTCACTAAAACAAGGATGATAATTACATGAACTTCTTTCATTGGCAAGTTTAATGAGAATTTCACATTACACAAATGCTTTGAGCCTGGTGTTTTATTCTTGTATTAATCATCATTTCAGTACTTACCTGTGAATGTTGGACAAAGAGATTTTGGATTTGTAAGGAGATCTCTCCAGAGTTGTTCAAATTCGGGAATACGGGCTACATTCTGAAGAAGTCTAACAAAGTCTCGGCCAATTACAAGGCAATCCGCAAAACGTTCTCTGATAAGTGTCACCACAAAGACAACTTCTTTATGTCTTAATTGAGTCAATGCTGGGACAGCATGGTCTTCAATAAGGCGTAAATAAGCATACACCACAGATGCAATTAACACTGGGAATTTGTCTAACCAAGATCTGAAACAATAAAATCACAGACCTATGTAGAAAATTTCCTGCCTCAATTTGAAACAAGCATAGCAATTATTTGAAAAGCTTGTTGTAATTTTAAGTATATATAAATAAAAAAGTCACACACATAAAAATACTTTATTTATTGCTGATGTAATCTTGCAAACATCTCAAACATTATAGTTTTTATAGTAAACAATTACTATCTTACAATCTTAAGAGTTTTAATTTTTGCTCAAAACTAATTCTAACTCACTGTCGTATTAAACCTGGAAGATTTGACAATGCTGTAGATACTGTGGACAGTACTGTCCATTACACAGGAGAAGAGCTCTGTCCTTGGCTGTGTGTAATAAAGTGAATCACCATTAAGAAATAAGCTGTTTGCTGCAGAGTATTGTACTGTATGAGCTGATGCATTATACCATTACATAATCTCATGTTTTTGCCAAAGCTTTTGTGCCTTCCATTCCAAACAAGCAGCAAGTGACATGAGTCTATGGAGCTGTTCTCCTGGGTAATGAAGAGTAGATGAATGTAAAAAGATGCGTGCATTTTAAAGATACTGTCAATCTAACAGCATTCTGACCTTTGCTATTTTGATATCTGACACTTTTCTCCATTGCTTTTGCTACAAATGCCACATCAGGCCTTTAGTGCTAAGCCATAACCACAAAGCATACCTGTTTTCTTTGTAGATATCCAATAATGCTTCAACAAGCATAATGTTCCGTGATGAGACATCACCACCTGCTGCATGCCTCATCAGATTCCAGCAAAGATTATCTACATTTGTGACTGCATTTCGAATCATTTCTCTTACAAGCCACAATACTTGAGTCCGTACTGTATCAGTAAGGCGCAGGTAGCGCTCCAGAATGAGCTGTGTTAAATGATTCAAAACCAGAGTGAGACCATCACGGGTGATAAGGGTAAGATCTCGATAGCTCTGAAACAAAATGTAACAATGAATACATTATCTTCCACATCATTTAAAATTTTAAATACTCTTCATGATATTATAATTGGTATATCTAATGACAAGGGTACATAAAATAAGAGTTCAGCTCCAGATGTCCAAATACATATAGGCAGTTGTCTAAAATAATTGTAAATCTCTACACCAATAAGTGATAAATAGAGGAATGATATTCCATTTACATTTCTAATGTAGATTCATAAATATATTCTCCATCTCCTCTCACTTTCGCTCACAATTACAGTTTATCTGTTCCCTTAAGTGTCAATTATAATGCAGAAAGAGGATCTGGAAGCAAAGCTCTACTCATTTTAATCTCAGCATTAAATGGAAGATAGGTGCTGTCTAAATTCACATTTGGTCCACTTTACCTACAGTAACAGAGCCATTAGTATCCACTGGAATGGAGGCCGGGAGGCTTTAACACCTATTTCAGATGTGGCAGTAAAAACAAGAATCCTTAGTGCCCATACCAGGAACTGAACTCTGGTTCTTCAATCCACAACTTGTCAATTAACTGACAGAGCTATCAAAAAATACAATAAAATGTATGTATGCTCATATATGGAACTATGTAAACCAAAACTAAATTTGAAAAAAAAAAAATGAAGTTGTTCCTGTGCCTAACTAGTTAAGCACTGTGCCATGAAGATATATGGTATAGCTCCATCTTTCTTTTCCTCGGCATTAGATGGAGGTGAGTGGTCAGCTTCACACCCCTGCACACTTTATCCACCCAACCCCCAGGAAAATAGTCCCCTGTACCCATTGGATAGAAGGCTGGATCGGCTCCAGAGCCAGTCTGGACAGTGTGGAAAACAGAAAATCTTGCATTACCTGGAATCGAACCAAGATAGTCCAGCCAATATCCCATCACTTTACAGACTGAACTATCCCAACTACAATTAAATTATAATGATAATGTATGAGGTGTTATTAGAAAGTCCCTGGACTAGGTCAAAAAAGAAATGCTGGCTTAATTTACTCAATTTTGGCTGGCATCTCCTTCAAAATAGTCTTCTTGGGAACATATATAGTGATCCAATCTTTTTCTTTCTACTCTTCAAAAGCACTGTGGAAATCATTTTCCTTAATGGTGTTGAGTACTGCTTGCAATTAGCTTTGGATGTCACACACTGTTCAAAAATGTTGTCCCTTCAGTTTAATTTTCAATTTGGGAATGAAAGCAAAATCACACGGGGCTAAGTCTGGTGAATAGGCAGGATGGGGAACAATATCCATGAATATTAGATTTAATTTTACAGACCACACAACACGTTTTTTTATTTACTGTGTCATGTGGTCGGTAAAATTAAATATAATATTAAAATAAAATACATTAAAATACACAACAGGATGCAACAAACAATTAAACAATATCCATGTTGTTGTTAGTCACAGATTTTGTGGTTTTCAGGAATGTGTGGGTGGGTGCACTGTCATGATGAAGGAGCCAGTTGTGGTTGCACCAAATTTTCTGTTAAGGTCCCCTGGCAAACTCCATAACTGATTCCAACAGTGGTGCGAGCTCATGGATTGTTTGGCAACAATCTTTGTGGATGCGTGCTTCAATTTTTTCAACATTTTCTGTCATTTTGCTGGTACTTGGTTACCCTGAATGTTTGTAATCTTCAACTTACACTTGGCTGGCCTTGAAATGTGAATTCCATTCAAAAACCGCTGTCCAGCTTAAAGAATGTTCTCCAAAAGTTTCATGAAGCATTCAGTAGTTGATTTACAAAGCTTCACACAAAACTCGATTTTGCCATCCATCGTAGACAAAATGAAACACGAAGTTGGAAAAGCATTTGTGTAAGAACAATGAATGTTCACAGCATGGAGTCACTTGGCAGACTGATGCAATAGGCTTGCAGAAGTGTGACCTTGGCCCCCCCTCTCATCTTCTTTCGCCAAGGGAGTTACAATAATACCAGTCTGGAAACTTTCCAGTACACCTCATATAATATAGATATCTCACACAAAATTTCATTCGAATTCATCACGTTGTTTCGGAGTTAAACACTGGGCTAAGATTAGGGTTAAAGCTCTGGCCCTCCACTGCATCATTTGTTATTAAGTAATACAAGACTGCAAATCTCCATTGCCGATCCATTGCATTAAAAATATAACACAAATCAAACATAATGTGTCTTGATAGGTTCTTAAGAATTGAAATTTAGCTCAGTTCTTTGGTTAGCTGCTTTGGGCTTGACAATGAGATCTGATTCCTGGCAGAAGCAAGGATCTTTCCTTTTTGGTATCTATGCTTAGACTGGCTCTAGAGTCTGCCTACCCAACATCCTACCCAGTGGGTATAAGAGGCTGTTTCCTCACAGGTAAAGTGGAAGCTGACCACTCACCTCCACATCCCTGAACATCTTCACAGCATGGTACGTAAGCACAGGGGCAAATTTATGTTTTAGCCATGCTTCAACTGAACAAGATTTGAGCATAATGCCAGGTATATTTTGATCAATGACTAACAGAATATTATTTCTGAAATATATATGTTTAGATATTTGTAAATTTTTAGAATCTCAACCATAATTTTATTTCAAGGGCCACGCCAGAGGTTAGATGCTGGCTTCCCATTGTGGCGGCCCGGGTTCGATCCCAGGTCTGGTCAAGTGGGATTTGTGGTGGACAAAGTGGCACTGGGGCAGGTTTTCTCCGAGAACTTCATTCCACCAATTGCTCCACAATGACCCTCACCTATCATCTGGGGCTGGTACAATAGGCCAGAAGTGGCTGCAGTATAAGGGACTTAGTCCCACCCCACTAGCAATAAAAAAATAATTTTATCTCAATGGAAAAATGATGCAGAGAAGCTACAGTAAATCCAGAGATTTGCATACTTGAATACATTATTTTGGAACCACCACTTATTTGACACCTGTGCTGAAATTACAGATTCAAACACATTGTGAACTAACTTCCAGAAGTTTCGTACAAATGTAGGGGAAACAAATCACTTCAAAATTACAAATAAGAAGAAACTATGACAATAAGCACATTTTATAATTAAATATCTTGCTACACAGGTTGCCAGTTGTGGAACACTTATGACAACTGATCACCTTCACAAACTTAACAAAACAAGTAGCTGCACAACAATTGCTAATTAACCATTTCATTTAATATACCTATATAATAACCAATAAGTAATGGAGTGAGAAAGTTGTTGATATGCACCTTGGCAGCACTTTGCGGTTCTGTTAGAATAACAAACAGAAGACCAAGTGACACTTCTTCATGGTTCTTATCTTTGCAGACAGCATTGTTCAGGGCATTTTGGGCTTCTTTTTCTGATAACCCTGATATCAGGTTCTGGAGTGTATTAAAACTTCTTTCGTATTTCTGAGGACAGAAAATGTTCACAAAAATGTAACTAATCATGAACTATACAATTTTAAAACATGATAAATTTCACTATAAACATTATTTAATAAAAAACACTGACAGACATTCAATAATATAGATTGCCTGAAAACCAATATTTTTAACTACAGTAAAACCGGTGTTCAAACAGATATTGCAAATTACATTCACACACACAAAAAAAGATTAGCAAACTTCAAGCACTTTAGGGTTTGAACAAGATACATGATGTTATTTTGGAAAGTTTTGCAGTTTTCATTTCTTTCATCTCACATGCATACCTTCATTAAGAAACTTATGAGAGCAATATGAGCAAAACTTACACACAGTTTATAAGTGCAGGGGGCTTTTGTAATTGTGAATAATGTAGGTCTTAGGATAAAAAGAAAACAGTGTTTACCTACATTGAATTATGGCAGACAACTGCAATATTCAACTACATTTTAAAGCAGGAAAATATACAGTCATACATAACTAACCTGTCTCAGGTTTGGCCCGTTGATAGAATGGTTAAAGAATGCAATGCAGTTGGTGGAATGAGAACTGTCACGGAAACTGAAGTACATGGACAAAACCACCCAGTGCCACTTCATTACTGTCATAACTAACTGACTAACTAACTAAATAACTAAATAATTCCATGGAGGTGAATCCTTCTTAACAAGCCACCAGTCACTTAAATACTCAAGATATTTCCTACATCTTATGGAACCGCAAGGTTCATTGCCATGTTCACAAGAGCCCTCCACTGGTCCCCATTCGGAGCTAGATGAATCCAATCCATGCCACCCCATCCTACTTCTATGAGGTCCATTTTAATATTATCCTCCCACCTATGTATAGGTCTTCCTAGTGGTTCTTTCCTTCTGGGTTTCCCACCAAATTTCTATATGCACTTATCTTCTTCCCATATATGCTACATGCCTTTCCCATCTCATTCCTCTTGACTTTATCATTCTAATCATATTCTGTGAAGAGTACAAGTTATGATGCATTATCATATAATAACTATATGGGTAATTACCTACATATAAATGGCATTTAAAAACACCTGGAACTTTAAACTTAAGTATGAAACTATGAAAGGAATTAATAAATGGTACATACATACTCCCTCTGGCTGTATAAAATGTACATGCAGTCAGGCTCAGTAATAACCAATAATTTTTCGTAGATAAAGATGTAAAAAAACAAACAAATAAAGAGAACAATGTCCAAAATGTTGACATTACATCATTAACAAGGTGTAAAAGACCTGTGTCAATAATATGGCCTTTTATATTGTCTGGTGTTTTAGTGCATGCATTGTGTGAATGCAGTATACACAAATCTCCAAACATTTCATGGCTCTTTGTGTACTTCTGCAGCTTAATCCAGCTTCATGAGAAATTAAGTTAATTTAAGTTTCTTGGTGACTGCAATAAATGCTGTTAAAATTCATTCCATTTTTCATCAAAGAGAACAGAAAGGCAACCAGATTATATGTCTTCAAAGCTACTTGTTTTGTGAAAATAAATGATATGACAACATTCTGTTGGTTTATTGGAAATGGAAGCATGCAAAAAAGCACACCTAAATATATTCTGGCAGTATGCATATGATCTAGACATAAAGTAATGTTCAATAATGAACACATGTTCCACTTGTGAAAAACTCATGTTTACACTCTGGATGCTCAGATGCAACTGGGAAAGCCTACAGGCAGTTCCACGTCACAGAAAGAATGGTATAACTGCAATGTTTCAGTAATGATACATGTACCAGAAGGATTTGCACTCTGTTGACCAGTTCCATGGCTCTGCACTTCATGGCTGGCCAGTGCACTGCTTGCTGCGAGGTGAATATGAATTTTGCTGATGAATCAGAATGCCTGATGGCACTTCAATCGCCATGAACCAGGCAACAAAGTTGAAGAAAAAAAAAACTCTCAGTACACATTTTTCAATGGATAGTTTGTTTTTTATAGGATTGATTGAACGTAATTCAAGCTGCACACCTTTTGGAACTCCCCGCACAAAAGTGTCTATATTTAATGTAGTCTTTTATAATTCAGTAACACACTGTACACCTGTGTTTCAGGTTATTATCTGAAATTTTACAGTGCACGAGCTTGAAGGTTGATTATAATAGCTAACTTTCAAGTGTAAGAACATACAATTAAAGATGATTTATAATTTACAGTTTCAGCATTGAACTATTTCAATCAATACTTGACCATAAGTTCTGAAGTTCAGGCTGTAAAACATGAAAGCCACTATTTAGAATTTTATTTATTGATCTGAACTGTGTAGTACAATTACTCCCTTTGTCTCTGGCAAGTAAGAATGAACACGTATCACATTCCTCGCAACTTCAAAGCAATTCTCTCTTTTCCTGCAGAAACCTGCACCCCCTTACAGTAACAGTATTTCAGAGGACATTAATACTTGAGGTGCTGTGTTTACAATTTCATTAAGTCAGGTCAGGAATCAATTCTACTGCCTAAGAGATGTGTACCTAACCTATGGGATGGATGTTATAGGGTATCTGATGACCATTGTTCAAATTAAATGGTTATTTTGCATTTAATAACATGAGAGGATGACTGCATTAAGTTAACTGGAAAGGATTGGATATGAAGTGGTCACCGGCTATTTCAAAGTACAATAATGGCATCTGCCTATAAACACTGAGGAAAACCATGAACAATCTCAGGCAGGATAGTTGGTGCCAAGCCAAAATTCCAACTAGACACCTCCAAATACAAGTTACAAGCATCACCACGTGAAAAGACTTTCTCAACCCAACATCTGGAAGTTTGCAACTCTTAGTCAGTGCTGAGCAGTCCACAGCTTGCTGTCCACTTTGGCTCATGTATTTTATAAATACTGTGTTTAGGCACATTAAGTATTTTACAACTGAATAATTAACATAACAATTTTGCATATCTAATCTCTTTGTTAACAGTGTCTTCTATTAGGCCATGACTACTTCCAAACACATTTTTGTTTCAATTCATTATTCCTAACCATCCCATCATTCAGCATTATACAAACTGAGGTACTGAAAGCATTGCCATATAAATCATAAATAAATAGAATCTCAACATTTCACATATTTAAAAATACAAAAATGAATTACAAATCCCCAGACTTGAAAAGAACAACAGCCCTACCTCAAATGTTACATAATTATATATTACCGAGCCAAGTAATGAATATTTAGAACTTCATGCCGCTTCTTATTTGAATCATCTGCACAAATCTCAAAGCCCATATTAAATACTAAAATTAAAAAATAATAAAAGAACATAAAACTCTATTGGTTATTATGGCACTTAGTTTCCACCTTATTTTTTCAAAACTTAATTCCTACAGTAAATCTTAGAGTCAGAAAAATGTTTTCCTGCTGTCATAGCAAATGATAAAGTCACACCTCACTTAGAAATTCATGTAGACACACACAACTCTTTGCTTGTTACATTTGGATGCAACTGTCTAGCAATAAATAACATACACACAAATTAAAATACACAAGATACTGACTATTCTTATCAGAATGGTAAAACTGATGTACAAACAAGGTCTGACAATTAAATAACTGGGCTGATGATTTTGTGCAGTCAATTGGCACGTAGAAAACCTGAAGGCAAGGGACAACTTCAGAGACTGAGATATAAATCATAGGATAATACTAAAATGAATCTCAAGCGATATACATTTCATATTCATTTGTGTAGTCCAATGTTGTGGCTTCATTTGAGATCTTTCTGGGGCACTTTAATAAAAAGGTTGATAAAAACAATGAGCCCTCCCCTCTTCCAGGCAAGAAGCCAGCCAGGAGAGGATTCAAGCCACAGCCTCTTGAAAGTAAGATGAATAAGAATAGAGACTCTCAAGCTTAGTGAGACTAGTATAAAGAAGCCAAACGTTTCCAGATACAATCATTTCCTTCAAGTTATAACAAGACTACATTATACCAAGAAACTATTCTTCATAAAACATTTTTTTTCCTATTGTTACTCTAAAACTTGTAAAATTACACTTCCCGCCCACCCAAATGTCAAGGCATGTTTGTAATGACTGTCATGACACACCTTCTGTGACTCATCACCACAGTGAGCTCATTTCTAACGTTTAAGTTCAACAGTGCCATCTGCATACTATGTATACAACATGTGAAGGTTTTTTCTAGAAAAAAAATAAAGGGCCATGTTATTAAGTTTTCATTTGCAACTAGGGTATCAACAGTTAAATGATAATAATGGAATCTTTAACAATAATTATAAGTGGAAATTATGGTACTAAATGCTGTAAGAATGAGACCATTTACCACTGAAACAATCCATTGACAATTCAATTTTCATACATCCAGCCATTATGACTCCCAAGATTTTTGAACATAACTGATCCTGTGTTTTGAATGTTAATATTTTTATCATAAAATTAAGGTTTTAAAGAGAAGCCATACAAATTTCACATTCAGATACATAATATTATTAATAGGTGACCAGCAAGCAAAACCTTGCACTAAGTTATTTAAAATAATTATTATAAAAATTGTCAATAAACATTTAATATTTTTAAAGATCTACCACCATAAAAACATTAAAATGACACTGCTGTTTTTCTCCCCAACCAGCTCTGCAGCGAATGAACAGAATTTGAAAATGTGACACTAAATTAACCACAACAGCATAAATAAAATCCAGTGATCCACAAGAATTGTTTGCATGATTAAAATCTTGGCTTTCAATGCCACCAGTTTTGGTCTATTAAATTTGGCCTGATAACAGGAAAGAAATCCATTTCTGATGAGAATGGGGTTGCCAGAAGGTGACACACAGCTTACTATGAAATTTGAACCGTAGTGGAGAATTGACACTTCTTGTTTAAAAAATTCTGACATTCAAATGTGGGGGATAGGAACTGCTTATGTGGTAATCAACACCTGTCTGCCTGGTCTCATGACCTTCAGCACACAAAACTAACACTTTACTT